GACCCACATGGACCACAGGGTGAGCGCCCCCTGTTGGCCCCACTAACACCTCTTCCAGCAGCAACCTTAGTTTTTCCCAGGAGGTCTCCCATCCAGGTACTGACCAGGTACCGAGCTTCAGGGAGCTGCCAGTTGTGAGTCACAGGGTGATATGGCTGCTGGCATTACCACTGGGTTACCACTTACACAGCTCAGATGTGTTTTAATAGATTCACTGGGACCAAATGATCTAAATCTACTTTACTTGTGTGGGTAACAGAAAATGTCCTGTAACACAATTTGGAAAGGTGGAATGTTAAAATATTTGTATACAAGATTATCTATAGATTTTGGAAACACGTCACATTTCACAATATCGACAATTGTGAGGGTAACCGTTGTTGCCAAGGCTAGTAAGGTATTTAACACGTAGGTTCCGCTCTGTAAAGAATCGTTCTTAATCCAATTCCTTGACAACAAAATAAAGACCTACTACTGTAAATAAACAGTACATATACTGCAACTTCAGAACACATCTCAGCTATAAAGAACTCTCGACAGATTAATTGAAAACATAGATCGTAGAAATCACCACACGAACTATTAATGGAAGTGTTTAAAGTGAATTGTGTTACAGAATACCGTTTAAAAAGGAAAATAACTATTACATTCGAGAAAACCGCGCTACCGGAACTCCGTACGGCTCCCAAGATGCAACGCTCCGCAACCGAACGGAAAAAGGCGGAGTCGAGCGTTCGGTTTCATTAATTCTGTTGCGTCATCTTCCGAAACACATGGAAATCTCCTTAGCGGGCGGGAATAGAAATTGAAGGGGCGTGGCTACGAGTGCAACCCTACTCTTCTGAACGGGGGGAGGTGTGGCCCTCTGTGATTGACGTCATAGCATCTGTAAGAGGGAAAAAAAAGCTCACACCTCGCCGGCTCTCTTCCGTCCTGGACGTTCCCGGAGTCAGTTTGGGCTGCTTCTGCTCTTCTTTAATTTCTTATTTTCACTGTCTTTTTTAATTTGTTTATACACCCCCCTTATCCAATGGCTACATTCCGAGTACTACGATCAATCTGTACGCCTACACACTACCAAGTGTGCCGGTTTCACCTATCAGCTGCAAGGTAAGTTAAAAACTAATACGGTGCAAAGATACATCTGTTGTGTATTCTGTATTTCTGAAACGTTCAGAAACACCTTGATTACCTTTGAAATAGTTTACGCTGTATCTTTTGTGAAACGAAGGCGGAAAATGTTATTTTTTTTTATAAGTTAAAAAATTACACACTGTTATTTGTCCCTGGTTGGCTGTCAGTATCCAAGAAACGGCTCTCTTTGAAAGGCGGAGATCCCTTAAATATCTAAGTGACCGTACAGCTAATAACTTGAACCCATTTAAATATATTTTAGAGTCTGTACTCCTACTAGAGATTTCTTATTCGTTCTGTAATCTTATTTTAAATTGGCATTTGTTTTTCCAGTATGCTGTAAGAGTAATTCTTTAAAAAATAAATGCCTGTGTCGCGCCCCCTGGAGTTTGTGTGTGGAAGTGCATCGCGGATGATGAAATCGCAGTGAATGCTTGCGTTGTGCACTGGCAGGCTGGATAGTCTGTGACTGTGTGGCATCGAACCTGGGCTTGCAGTTGTGGCTGTATGCATCAAAACAGCCTGTGTATTTTTCATATTATGTTATTTTTTTTGGCTGAACGAAATTACACACTATCTCATAATATGTGTGTTTTAATGTCAGAATTAGCACTTGTCTGTTTGCTTCAACACCAAACATGGAAGTTTTTTTTTTAAATATTGTCTGCCTAATACTGTAATTTCATTTTGCTGCATGTTCGTTTGTAATTTCCTCGCCAGTTGTATCCAATTGAAGTAGACGAGAGAAGGAACCGCGTGTTTCTCGTGATTTCCAGTAATTTAGTTAAGGAAGTGAGAGGCGTATGGTATTATACAAACTCCAAAAGGTGGTTCTATACAATGTGAATAAAGCTTATATCCCTTAATACGATATAAACGTAAAACTGTCTATTTCAGATTCTGAAGTTGTCCCAACACCCTGCTACTTAGAAAATTCCAGTCGTTTGACCTTTGTGGTCAGATAAGAATTCAATTAAAATCTTCCATTTTACTTTCTTTAATGCCGGAAGGAACCACCTGCTTACATAATAAGTGCACTTAAAATAGAACAATATTTGCATATACCTCAGGTATCTTAACTTTTAAAGTTTGACTAGAATCAAGGCAAGAACGTGTAAAAGCAATTAGCTGGACTGCGTAAGAGGCTTGCATTTTCGTACTCTTTTTCAATAAGTGTTGCAAATATACAGGGCGTCAGAAAGTGAAGCTTGGCACTTGTAACAAATTCACCAAGTTTTTTATCAAGCAATTGATAGATTAATTAGAATGATGCCAAAAAACATTCAATGCAATATCCATACTCCCTGTAGTATATTTCTCTAAAGATGTGTTGCTCTCTGCAGCTCAATAGATGTGATTATTTGACATTGAAAAAATATTTTGCATTCTGGAATAGTGACACAAAATTCCGCGTTGAAATGCATGCCACATTTTGCAACACTTTTCAGGAACTTCTGCACCTAATTTCTAAGAAATGTAATCAAGCGACAGAGATTGTGCAATGTGCCTTCCTCAATGTTAATGACACGGGGGGGCGTGTTGGAGACTTTCATCTTCACTCAGATGGAAGTTTCTGGAGGGCATCGGCAAGCTCTTGGCATACTGGCAGATGCGGTATCTCTTCCTCTCGTTTACTGTGCTTTTTCACTTGGACACCCTTAGTGCTGCTTCCCTGTGTGTGTGTGTGTGTGTGATGGCAAGCCAGTGGAAGAGCTCGTCTGAAGGTCCCGAAGATCCCTGCCATAGATCACTAGAGCCTAGAGACCCTTGGCCTTCCCACCTAGGTGAAGGTATCAAACCACTGGCGTGTGCACATTCCAGAGGAGTTGCTGCAACACGAGCTGCCCATGGCCGCCTCTGCGCACACACACACATACGCGCCACCCTTGTGCGAGTAGGTTCCAATAGAGAGGCAGCCAAAAACTTGAGATCCTCCCCCGCGGAGAAGGCTATTTCTTGCCGTTTCTTGGTAACTGGAGCCCACTCCATTAAGGAGAAGAGCTGGGATGTGTGCCCGCTCGTACTTTTTTCTGACCATAGGTGAGCGCTTGTGGTCCCAGAGGCTCACAGTGCTGGGTGTTTCGTACGTCCTTAAACGATCACCTGCTTGAAACTGGGAAGCAGTGCTTGATGAGTTCAGTCGCAAGTAACTGGCTTAGAGGAAGAAGACCTCTCGGCTCTGATGCCCACTATGGACGTGAGTCTGCCACTACGGATGTTAACACCCTCCCTTCCCGCTGTTCTCTCTCCCCAGACAGGAAGCGGTGGTGATCTCCGGCAGGAAGTTGGCGCGCCAGATCCGCGGGGAGGCCCGGCGGGACGTGGAGGAGTGGGTCTCTGCGGGCAACCGCCGCCCTCACCTGAGCGTGGTGTTGGTGGGGGAGAACCCGGCCAGCCACTCCTATGTCCTCAACAAGACCCGCGCTGCCGCCGACGTGGGTACGAGTCCCCGGCCGCGCACAGACACGAGTGCCCTCCCCTGCTCCAGCACACGACACGCACTCGACATGGGGCGCGTGTCATGAACCTAGGGAGTGCTCTTTCATGATAAGACATCTGGGCTGTATGTGTCCTACTGAAATTATCAGTCAGGACCCAGATGGGGCTCTTCTGCAACACAAATTTAGATTTGTAAAACCCAGTTCTTGCATTTGTATTAGGATGCACCTGATGCACCTGTTCAATATTTGCATTCCAATGGAGCTGAAGATCAAGCTGGTTACAGACAGTACACATGCAAAGTCGCTCAAAGGCTACCTGATCCCTGCAAAAGGGGGTCCTCGGTTTCCAGCTCTGCTGTGATAACACACTGCTGGCAGGGTGGCTGTCCCTGATAAGAGGGAAAGTCTTTAGAGTGGCGCAGTGGAAAAGTCAACATGCAGCACTGCCAGAAACAGAAACCTGAGGAGAAGCAACGTAGTCCCAGTGCTTCAGATGCCATCTAGTGGTTACCTCTCCTCCAGGATCCTGCACTGTGCTTCCTAGCTCTTGAGCCCTGGGGCAGGGATGAGTAAAATTCCTTTTCCATTTCAGTCCGTGCAAGTTTTTGTTTCAGCCCCTCCTTTATTATGTAATCTCAGAGTTACATAATTCATTGAAGGCCAATTGAATAATTAAAGTCTAGGATGATATGCAATAACTGCCTGCTTTGGTGGAGCTGAGGTTGCCCACTTCTGTGCCCAGAACTCACCAGTGAGACAGTTTTCATCTGGTTTGCACTTGAATGAGTTAGAGGCTGCTGATGCCCCTGTGCATATTATTCATGAAAGGTGAAACACTTTGAATTTGCAAAGTAGGTTAGGGCAGGTTGTCAATGCAGAGTGCCAAAGCAATTTTCTTTATTTCCAATTCAAAAAAAGAAGAGGCTTGTTGCGAACCTATGACAATCTTTTGGTGAATTAATCAGTGTTTGTAGTTTCATGTCTGACGGTAGATGGTTTTAATGTGGAGGTCATAGGCGGTGCCTGACTCCTGCCTTGTGTCGCAGGGATCAGCAGTGAGACCATCCTGAAACCCTCCACTATCTTCGAGGAGGAGCTGCTGGAGTTGATCCACAAACTCAACAATGACAACAACGTGGACGGACTGCTGGTGCAGTTGCCCCTGCCTGGTGAGTACTTCTTCCTGTGATGTGGCTGTTGGTCTTGCCCCTGTGAAAGCTGGAGGTGAAAATTCAGAGGACCCACATTTTTTTTAACTTACATATACTGGGCAAAGTGGGGGGGGGATGGAAGCAGAGGCAGTTTTGCGTTTCCCTGAAAAAGCTTAGACCTCAGACTGATTCTCTCCTGCTCTCTTTGCTCAGAGCACATTGATGAGCGAATTATCTGCAATGCTGTGGCTCCTGGGAAGGATGTGGATGGGTTTCACGTGGTGAATGTGGGGAAGATGTGCCTGGACCAGAACTCCATGCTGCCTGCCACACCCTGGGGGGTCTGGGAGATCATTAAACGCACAGGTGAGAGAGCGACAGGGGTGGCACAGGGGTGTGAGTTCTCATCTCTCTGTTTCAGTTCTTATAAGCAGTGGACAGAGTCTTGCCGTATTTGATGTAGTAGCCTTGATGCAGATGGCATGAATAGGAGACATAAAAGGAAACATCAGTGTCCAGTGACTTGACCATGTGCCGTGGATAGCGGTTGACAAAGATCCTCATGCATGCAGCAAATGTTTATACATGGAATGCAGAAATTCCATGGGAGAAATGTGGATAGTTCCCCTATCTGTTGAGGATCTCATCAATTGCAGAATTCCTGACTGCACTCCTAAAGATGCAGTAGCTTTGATGCAATCAAAGTCAAATAGATATTGGCTTAGAGGCACTGCCAAGTCAATGTAGTTTCTGAATGTTGGCCTCATAGCAAAGGAGAGGCAATGCTGAAGGCATAAGAAACTGATGGCAGCGTTCCAGCCTTATCTTGTCAACCCGGAAGAGTAAGTGCTTGTTCCTAGTCTGCATCTTGACCTCTTAAGTGCTAAAACATGCTACGAACTCCCCAGTATCTAGTATTTTCCCTAGTGCTGCATTGTAGGGACGTGGTGATGTTTTTGTTAATACTTCCTTGACCATCTCATCCTGTCTGTTGTGTGCAGGGATCCCGACCCTTGGGAAGAATGTGGTTGTAGCTGGCCGCTCGAAGAACGTGGGGATGCCCATCGCTATGCTGCTGCACACCGATGGGCGTCACGAACGGCCAGGAGGTGAGGCTGGAACCTGGGAGGGGGAGGTGGTCCCTCTTGGATGGGGAGGGAGGCTGTTGTACCCGCTGGAAGCACACTTTCCGTTGTGCCGTAGGAGTTCAGTCCAGCCTGTATGTTGCTCAGGTGCTAGAACCTTGCACAAGAGATTAACGGGGGGAATGTGTTGGAACGGATTTGGAAAGGTCCAAATTAAAAAGTAGTCCAGCTTTGTCCTGTGAAGCAACACACAGCCTGTCTCCTGGGTGAATTATGGAATTGTTTTAAAGTATATTTAAATAAGCAGTTTTGATAATACTTGGGATATTGTCATATGCATGTAGTGTGACACTAAAACACCAGACGGTACATGCACAGAGCCAGAGGGCTATAATGGGACTGTGTTTTGACATGTTGTTCTTTGTCTGTAATCAGCTACATGAGATTAACTCTTGGACTCCTCCCCTCCATCCCCTCAGGTGACGCAACAGTGACAATCTCTCACCGTTACACACCCAAGGAGCAGCTCAGACAGCACACTAAAATCGCCGACATCGTGGTGGCTGCAGCTGGTAAGAGGACGCCTCTTCTCCCTCTCCTCCTTCCCCTCCACCTCCTCCCCCTCTCCCGCAGGCTGGCGCTCGTGAACCTTGTGTTCCAGCTGGGATCACTCGGCCCTGACTCTATTCTTCTGTGCTCTCCAGGAATTCCCAATCTGATCACTGCTGATATGATCAAGGAGGGAGCGGCTGTGATCGACGTCGGGATCAACCGGGTCCAGGATCCAGTCACCGGCAAACCCAAACTGGTCGGGGATGTTGACTTTGAAGGTACATAACTCGAACGCCAGATTATTTCAGAAAATAATCACTTAGATTTGATTTTTGACAGCAAGTCTTTACATCAGGTGGCAGGATCCTAACTCTAAGTGTTGGATATGCCTGTATTTAGTTTCTCTCCCTCCTCCTGTCTCTCCAGGTGTTCGTCAGAAGGCCAGTTACATCACCCCCGTGCCTGGTGGAGTGGGACCCATGACAGTGGCCATGCTAATGAAGAACACCATCATTGCTGCCAAGAACCTGCTGGTTGAGCCAGAGCGCCTACACATGGTGGCATCCTAACCAACACCATCCCTGTCACCGTGACTACACATTCCACGCCAACGCCCACTACACAGCTGTCTACGTTCTCAACGCCCAGCCAAACAGAGGCCGACAGCATTGCAATACCTTATTTATTTCCGGGTCATTTGATGTTATTTATATATGTATATTTTTCTTTCCATTTTCAGTGTTAGTGTTTTTCTTACAGTGCATCCTTAAATTTGTATTTATTTTTTTTTCCACGGAGTTGCTGTTCTGTTTGAACACTTTGTTCGTTTTTGCGTTATCCTTTTTTTTTTTCTCTACAAGAAACACGAAGGAAAATGGCAAAATGGCAAGCTTTTGGCCCTTCTAGCCTTTGATCAAGGAGTGACAAAAGAGACGGAAATAATATTTCCTAAATTTCAAGGTACTTTATACTCTCTTGCAAGAAAACCAAGAGCAAGGTGAGGCGTCAGGGTGCCCTGTTACACCCGGTTTCCTCCCACTGGGAGCTGGTACGCTGTGTAGGAATGGGCAGGCCAGCTGTTCGGGCACAGAGTTGACTCAGTGTTTTAGGAGGAAAGCCTGGCTGACAAAGTCAGTCTAAAGACAAATTATTGGACAGACTTCTTAGTTGTTAAAAGAATTCTGTTCCTTCCATAAGCGGTTATATAGAACACATGGCGTGTGACCCAGCCAATTATGGATCAGATAGGTCAGTTCTGTGGCATTGCTAAAAGAAATTGCCCACTATGAAATGCTGGAACTGTTTAAGGTGAAAATTGCCGAATTTTACAACAGGAGTTTTCTGGGCTCCCTGCAGCAACCAGGGGGATAAACGGGCAGTGCAGTTTGGCAACAAATGTTGGTCTTCTTTCAGAACTATAACAAACCCAAGAGCTGCTTATACCAAAAACTTGGACAGAAGGGCAGAGTTGCTCTTAAAGACTTGGTTTGAGTAGCCAGTGCTGTAGCTTGGCTGCTTGCAGTGCTGATGGGCTATTTATGTATTCTTTTTCTTTTCTAATGAGAGTGGCTTTTAGCTTGATGCTGAGATCCTAGTGCAGGAGATCCAGTTGAGCTGTTGCAGAAGCAGCAATCTTTTTGTTGACGGGACAAAAACGTAAGGGCTATTTCTGATCAAAATCCCTGAGCAGCCATGAAAACAAATACAGGGATGAAATCAGTTCCTCCACCAGCGTTCACTTAAAGACCCACAGACCAGCAGAGAGTAAAACTGCTAGGTGAGGAACATAGTGTTCTATACTTTCTGTGCAGGTTTTACAGTGAGTCTATTATGAGTTGACATTGCTCACATAGCATAGGTCAACCTGACTTTGGCAGATCCCTTGTTAAAAGGAATAATGTGTGCAGTGACGATTTACATTAAACACTATGCAAGTGGATCAGTCCTGCAGTTACATATGAAACTCAAAAAGGCTTCTGAATGTTTTTTTTTCAAGTACATTTCAAGTATACATGTATGTCTGGGAGAAAAAATGATTAGGGAACTGCTTTAAACAGCAGGCAGTAAATGGCACTTATCCAACCCTTGAACAGAGAATATTGCTTCGTTCTTTTGTTTGTCAAAAGCCCTGGAATTCCACAGTGGAGAGGTTTTAAACTGTCTGGCTTCTATCCCCTCCACATACAGATAAAACACCTCCACTAAATGAGAATATCTTATCCTTGACTAATCGATAGATATGTTTTTCTCCAATCTTTTCTCCGAGTACATCTTGCAATGCTGAGAGTTGTTTCAATCCTAGGCTAAATAATCCACACCCTGTGTGATCTGCATTGTATATGTTGAAGGATGTTGGGAGACTCTTTGGCAAAATTTTGTAATGAGACAGATGAATAGATCAGTTTGAGTTCTGAAATTTGTTTAGTAAAGGATATAGCCAGTTGGGGTCAGAGAGTTGATCCCTCCTGGTAAAAGAGTGTTTCTTAGATGCGATTCATGTAATGTATCTATTTTCAGACTCTTGGGGAGGTATTTCAAAATTGAGATTACAAAGGGGTATCTAGGCCAATAACGCATATGCTGTTTCACCAAGCATTTGTCCTACTTAGAATACATCTGATGTGATTGCCCTTGTTTAAGTATTATAAAGATTTCCTGATATTTTTTGAGAGATTTGCATTTGATACTTCTTGTACTTGAAATAAAAATAGAGGTTTAAATACACATTGTGTGTGGGATAATTGTTTTTTTTTGTTCTCTGTTTTAAGTCCCGTTTTAATTAGGTGTGAAAACCATCTTATTGAACTGTAGATCTGCTGGTACCTGTTTATCAGGGTAGTGTTATTGTACAAACGTACGCACTATTAACTATTTTTGTGAAATATTCATTAATCTCCGGTTCTCTCTATCGATGCATTGGTCTGCAGGATCATTTCCATTTAATAGTAGTATTCAAACAGACACTCACCTACTCTCCAACATTGCAGGGCTTCATAGAACCATCTCTGTCACTTGGTCTCGGTCTGAATAAATGGTAGAATCCATTCTCATCTGCCTGGTTAGAGTGAGAAATTGCACAGAAAGGATTAATATTCGCTACAGTAAGGGAATGTTAAAATGAGAAACCTGATGTTGTAAAACAAGTTCCATTTGAAATACTGAGAATTAAGAACTGCACAGGTGTGGTGTCAAATGCATACACAAGGTCCACTAGAGTAATCACTCCTGTATCATTCAAGAAGGTGTGACCAGCCAGCCACTTGTGACCACAATGCACTGTGCTGTGGTTATGGTGCCAGTCAGGGGAAAGGCATGATTTAGCATTCTGATATGTAGGTATGCAAGGAGTCTTAGAGGGAGGGAGAGGGGGCAATCTCGTTACTGATTGCACTGTGTGTATCTCAGTATCCTCCTTTAAAGTAAATGCAGCGACTGTATAGAGCGTGATGCATTTGTTTTGTTTGAGTTATTTTGATTAGATACATATCATTATAGCAGCACACCACACTTTCTCATGCTGTGGGTACCAGCTCAAATGAGTGCAATTTCAATTTGGATTTAAAAGACTCAGCCTTACCAGTATTACTGATGTGATCAAACAACTGCTTGATATGGCTGCCGGCCAGGAGCCATATCACCCTGCAACTCACAACTGGCAACCCACTGAAGCTAAGCAGGTGTGAGCCTGGTCAGTACCTGGATGGGAGACCTCCTGGGAAAAACTAAGGTTGCTGCTGGAAGAGGTGTTAGTGGGGTCAGCAGGGGGTGCTCGCCCTGCGGCTAATGCCCCAGTATAGTGATGGGGACACTATACTGTAAACAGGTGCCGTCCTTCGGATGAGACGTAAAACTGAGGTCCTGACTCTCTGTGGTCATTAAAAATCCCAGGGCATTTCTCGAAAAGAGTAGGGGTGTAACCCTGGTGTCCTGGCCAAATTTCCCATTGGCCCTTATCAATCATGGCCTCCTAATAATCCCCATCTATGAATTGGTTTCATTACTCTGCTCTCTTCCCCACTGATAGCTGATGTGGGGTGAGCGTTCTGGCACACTATGGCTGCCAGGTGGATGCTGCACAGTGGTGGTGGAGGGGAGTCCCATTTACCTGTAAAGCGCTTTGAGTGGAGTGTAAGCAATTATTATAATTAATTATTGATAAACCTACCTGTTGTAGGCTCAGAGGGGGGGTCCATGTCCCAGGGTCTTTTGAGATCTCACTGTTCTGGCTTCCAATGTGCAGCATCAACAAGCCACGAGACAGCTGTTTCTTTGACATCACGTGTGCTGTTCTGTGTAACAGTACATAGACGTTGACGACGTGTCCACTGCAGGCCAGTGTGGGCACAGTGAAAGCTAATTCAGTGAGGTCCATAGTCTCGGCAGCCTTCTGGTCTTGCTTATCAAGCTGCTATATTTTCATATTTGTACAGCTATTGTTCTAATGAATGAAATCTTCTTTCCACCTCAATTACAGTAATTTACAGTGGCTGTACGGCCAGAATTGGCAAATCCTGCAAAAATATGAATGCAGTAATTTGTTTTAAATTATAGTCATACTTTTTCCTTCACCTATATCATACTGGCAGGTATGTAGCGCTCACCCCAGAACAAATTTTTACTCAATTGTTCATGTCTTTTTAAGTCTCATTAAGACGTACAACTCACAAGGAAAAGAGCTTTCTTTTCATTCCTATAAATCAAATAAAAATAAGCTTTTCATAAAAATAAAAAAACAAGAATCTGATGCTGTTTTTTTAAACATAAGTTTATTGCTAAATGTAATAATCTTTACATTCAACATCAAATATACATTTGAGGTGACAAGGAATGGAGATTGTACACGAATTAATTTAATTTCACATAAATGAATAATAAATGAATTACTTCATAGCTCAGATTCTTCATTTGGTTACCACAACTATGTTTTTTTTTTTACATCTACCAAGGTTTTTTTTTTCCTTGACGTGTAGTATATATATATATTTTACTTTTGCACTACTACATCACAGCAGGCTGGAAGTTTGCAGTGGAGTTTACAGCTTGGAGAGGAGAGGGGAGATTCCACAGTTCTAGGGTCCAGTTTTGTGGAAGGGTTCTGTGGTCACTACTCTGTTGTCGGTTCCGCATGAACCTGGCTTTTCACATCTTCTCTCTTGTAAGAACACTCACGCACCCCTCAGTCTAGAACAGCATTTCTTTATTGCTATTAATGTGAAGTTTGACAAAGCACATATTCTTAATATGATTACTGATAGACTAATTGCTTCTGACAGGAATAAGTGAAATTATTCAGCTGCACTTTGACATGCAAGAGATGCAAGCTTAAGGTGAAGCACATCGTAGTCAATAATAAACACTATGGCTGAGGGACAGAGACGTTTTTCACTGGGGTCCTCTTTGTTTTTCAACTAATCTGGCTTTTTGGTAACTGATGGGATGAAGCAGGGTACAGCGTGTCAGCTGGGAGAAAAGAAAATGCAAAAGGCTGTGACACTCCAGTCCTCAACAGTCACAATCCTGAGGGCTTTACAGGTATCTTTAAATGGTCAAGTTAAGTCACTTCTTCCAAAGGGAATTAAGAATGGTCTTTTACAATTTACATCCTATTAAATGTCAGCAACTGGAATTTGTAAATTATGTTCTCCTGGGGGGTGGTTCTTTGAATGACAGTTGATTTCTTATGAAAATTGTACTTTTTTTCTCAAATTAAGCTCATAATTAGCTCTGTCCAAGGTTTTAAAACCCAATCCAGAAAAAAAACAGAAAATGAAGTTTGACACAATCTAAGATCAGATTTATGTTTTTAAAAATATTCTTCATACTCCCAAACACGCAGATGAGTTTAAAATTATTATATTGTTCATTATTAATATGTAATATAATCAATAAATACAGTGTGAACTTTTAAAAAAATTAACAGTGAAATATTAAATTACTTACAAAACACATTTTCAAACTAGAACACTAAGTCTTATGTTAAACAGTTCACCTGCTTTGCACAGTCACTCTACACCACTCACATCTTAGCCTTGTTGGCATCATGAAACACAGCCTGTTACAGCTGCTCAAGATGCTGTGTTGCTGGTTCGAACCGAGACCTTTACCCGTTTCTCAAAAGCCCTGGGCCATTTTTGCATAAAAACTGGACTAACAACAAAGAGTTTCTGCATGATAAGTGTACTGGCCCCTGTGGCCTCTTTCCATTCACCAAAAACAAAGTTTAGGTTTCCAGGGAAGGTGTAGAAGGACATCTGACACACCACATGCAGGAAAAGAAGCAGATGAACTGAAAATGCATCAACATGACATTTAATGTCCAGCTTGTCGTGAATTCCTGAGCCTAGGTTTCAGTTCAATTTGGAGCACAAAAACAGCATCCACAAAAGGACAGCAAGACCCCACTCCCAGTGTTATACTGCATTTAATATACAACATTAAGAGAGAAAAAGAAGCAAACGATCTGTTTTCTCTTGATCCCCACCATAAAAGACCCAATCTCCTTGCCATGTTTCCTAGTCCTCTTTTAGTGAACCTTCAGCTCTCATAGAGACCTGCTGGAGTCTAGTAAAAAGGACAGCTGTCACATTTTGGCATGCACACAGGGAAGCTAGCACACAAATACAAGGAACCCTTCACACTGCACATATGCAAAAGCAAGATGTCAACAGACATATAGACACAACCACACATGCACATGCAGAAAACGCTTGCTTGGAACTGTCTCTTGTAAAGATGCACCCTTGTGAGATGAGCACACACACATCTCAAAACTACATATCATATACAGTACAAACACTTACTTCAATGCAACAGACTCCCATGGTCCCATGGTTAAAATTTGCCTGTGCAGTTGCCTACCCCTGCATCCCTTGCCAGACTGCTTGAACCACAATTCAGGACATCACAACAGATCTCAAGAAAATACCCAACCGATAGAAGAAGTATTCTGAACACAATTCACAAGAAGGTCCTTACAGGGTTAGATGCTCCATTCAGATAACTGGATTGTAAAAACTGTGCAGTGTGACATCATCAAAGCTTGAACACATGCTGTACAAAAGGGGCTATGAAGAACATGTTCCCATGTACAATACAGTACACACCAGAAAGCATGATGGGGTTCATCAGAGGGTGAGTGGTCTAGGGAATAAATCCTGTTATATATGTCTGGTGTTTGTGCCCTCTCGTGTGTATTGCTAATGATAACATTCAGTATTCCCCACAGCTGAAACAGGAGAAGTACTAAATTTCACTGCTCCACAGCACGATTTTCATGAAACAGCTGTCAGAACAGGCCAGATAATTTTCTTATAAGTGCTTTACATAAACCATCTGCTCCAGTCTCATCTTTATGGCAGACTCCCCCTTCTGTTTCATCTCACCCCCATCTCTCTCTCTCTCATCGTTTTGAGTTGCTCTGTCTCGTGTTGCTGCAGACGTGGTTTCAAACACAGAAATGTTAGGTTTTCTGTGGTAGGATGAATTAATGGTCCACAGAGTCTGCCAGTCAGTTTTCTGTTAAAGAGAATTCCCATTGAAAGGTCAGGGAAGGCGGTGATGAACAGGTGTGGGGATCACAGTGTTGGGTGAGTGAGAGAGAGAGACCACGTGCTTGCATATGAAAAAAAACTGAGTGCTTTCCCCCTGTAGGCAATTTATTTAGTGTTGAGAGGGCACTGTGCACAGTGGAATTAAGGACTCTTGTTTTACTGAGCTATGAACACGCACTCTTGCAATGCCCAAGCATTTGCTTGTTCTTTTTACAGTGTGCCAGGCAGTCAGCTGGCCTGGCAGGTTTGGTAGGGGTACACTATGTGCTATAAAGTGGTCTCACTGCCCATGTCTCTGTGGTGTCTGTGGTGTCTGTCTGTGTCAGTGTCATCATAGTCGGACTCCATCTCTATCTTCACCTGGGGCACGGCGAAGGCTGCGTTCCGGGACAGACTGACAGCGGGGGAGGATGGACACGAGATCTTCAGGTGCAGAGTGATGCTGGAGTGAGGAGCGCAGAACAAGAACCGGGTTAGAACACAGCCAGGGCCAGCCGGCCCCCCACTCACCCCCACTGGGCTACACCTGCGCCTGAGACTATTTCACATCTGCTCTCCTAGCATTTACCTTCCAGTACATGTGTTAACATGTGCACGGGACTTGATAGTCATTTACAGTGTCGGAAATACACATCCAGCTATAATTCAGCAAATCATGAAAGAGATACAAAATAGTTCAATAATATGCTAAATGCTAAATATCAAGCAGCATGGCCTCCCATAAAATGGATATATATTTTAAATAAGCATTTAAAAACAGAACTTACACACTTTGGCTATTAAATCTTAAATCATTACCCTTATATACTATATAGAGGTATTTACACACCTCATGAAACTAGGTATTGAAGTTCTAGTTAATGAAACAGAGGAGACAAGAGGAGAGACAAGGACAGAGGGAGGTCAGCTTAGGGAAGGTTTTAGAATCCAGCTTACAGCTGGGGTTTAGTTTTCTGCAGACTCATTTTGATCTTGTTCTCCTAGTTTAACCCACTCGGTACATAAAGGAGACTGGTGATTTAACTCCCTATCAGAAATTATCAATGGATAGTGTTGACCAGCTGAGCCATGGAGCAGCCCCTAGGAAGCAGCTCCTTCCTTTCAAAGCATATTCATATTCTTCCCCAGCATGCAGCAAAAACCTGCAACACCACTAGTCACTTCACAGCTTCAACATTGTGGGCTTGGGATGATCAAGATCCTTTTTCCCCATAAGACTTAAAATGGACAAACTATCATCGGCATTGCAAAGTGTAGTGGAATATTAGCTTCTGTCTCTCCTCTTACAACATCTGCACAGAGGGGAATCAGAGCTTGGCACAGCATTAGCAAGCTTGGAGAAACTCGGTGAAGCACACCAAATGCATTACATTTAACAAAAGCATACTATATGCCCAGGCACAGCATTGTACACAATGCACAATTATCATGCACCACCTCCACTAATATTAATCTTTTCTAAGGAACTCTCCTTTATACAGTATATATAATTTCCCTGTAATGTCAATGTAGTGCTTGATTAAAACAGGGTTGTGCATTTCAATCTGAAATTAACTCCAACTCTTCAGTCTTTTTTTTATTTCCTGCTACTTTTTCTTCCCCTATCAAAGGGACAAGAGGTCCTTATTAAAAGTACTAATGACTTGCTGCAATGTGAAGATCCTGTCACTGGCATTCTCACTCCCTTATACCTTTTACCCTGCGTACAGTATTCGAGAGCAATGGTGAGTTACTGCAAAGTCTTAGTCCGTGATGTTTATCATCCTGCCTAATGGTTTCACTGCAACTGTTAATATGTAAAAGTCAATGTCTTTGAAAATAAAGCAAGCTGCCAAAAGATTTCTGTGAAGCGAAAAGAAATTCTGAAGTCTAGCATGGATACAAATTCAGCTAAAGGGGAGGTGAAAAAGGTTTTCTTATGGCTGGTAGTTCCCTCCATTGCAGCCATGGCACGGTTCTTAGAAAAGTAGAGGTTACTAAATCCAAGCTTGGGGATGACTGTGACTACCGGTTTTCATTCTATCTTAGCTTTAAACCTCTTAGTGCTTATTAGCACTAAGGTAGTGCACAGTAATTAGCACTAATGTAATTTTTAAATGATCTGCTTGCTTGTTTAGACTTTTGGTTTACTTGTTTCTGCACTCAGTCCCAGATTTCTAAACTAAATAGTTGTTCGAGGACATACTGTACAATTTACAACAAACAGGCACAGGTGGGATTGACACTGTGCCAGACACACCCATAGTAAGGCTTTTTCTGCAGAGGTCCAGTTGGTTACTTCTCATGCAACACACAGGACAGGTCTGATACCCCAAAAATACTCCAATTTGACTTTTTGAGAGCTGACAGCAAGCAAGTAGATAAATGGAGTTTTAGTATAAAATTGGTAGGAATGTTTGATCCTTATCTTGCATTCTTCTGCTTGCCTATGTACTGTATATGCGTCTCGCACCCTGGACTTCCTGTAGCACATCTCTCTAGAGCCTCTCCTGCCACCCCATCTACACCCCTGCTGCAGCTCCCTGGCTCAGTTCTCACTGAGAGGTGGGGTGTGGACAGCCTCTCCCTTCTGGCAAGGTTGCAAATTTCCTCTGCCAGGAGAGTTCCTCCAAATACACTCTGCGGATCTCGTCTCACTCAGCTTTTATGAGGAGCTCACAGAACTACTGAACTGAAATTCGTCTGTGATTAATAACTCGGCTGGAAAAACCAGAAGGCACTCCCAAGACTAGGGTCTGAAAGCTCTGTTACAAAACACCGCCTGTAAACTCCAGAGCCTTGGCTATAACTAGAGAAGACAGCGTATAAGCCATTAACTGCAGGATAGAATCATATAAATGTGCATTCCTTTATTCAAATAATGTAACTGCGTTCACAGTGCAGTCTCCACAGAGGTTCAAATCTGGGGCCTGACAGTACTGAGCTGCTGTCTATGCATCCTACTTCAACATATCCTTTGTTTTTAGAAGACTGTGATTACATTTTAAATCATTTCTTAAACTTGTGTGGCAGTCATGCAGGAGATTGTTATTCTACCCATTTTTGTATTTCCAGTCCGATTGGTTTGTCTTGTTTCCCTCACTGTCTGCAATGCTACATGTTAAATTTGGTTTTAGATTTTATCGTGCAGCAGCCTGAGATCCTTTTTCAGGAAACCATTGTGTAAGTGAAAACATGTGAAGCCTGACTGGTTGCTTTGTTGCCTGACTGACTCCATGTGCTGAGGTGCCGGGAAACGGGGTGACTAGTCCACAGGGGCTCTGGAGAGCGAGACGGGCAGTACTGGCATGCAGAACTGAGGGTCCACCAGTCCCTAGGAAAAAAGTGTGATCCATCGCGAGGGATTTGTATTGTAGCCAGAAGAGCAATTTTGCAGTCTATAAACCTTCTGGACTGAGGCAGCTCTTACTCTTCCACAGTTCATCAGATAATACAGTATATAAACACACAGCCTAGTAACTAACCTGCAGAGAGTTAACAGGGTCCACACTCTCTGAGCTGTTGTAATGGCGGAGATGTTATGTGGCATATTTTGTAGGGTCAGCGTGCTTTAAAGAGCTCTTTCAGACCATTGGTTAAGACATACAGTAGCACTGCATATACTGTATGTCACCTAACTGCAACTTGTCTATTTGGTACAATATTAATTAAAGTGAATCACTAGTTTCTTTTATTTTTTTCAGATTGGGGAACTACTATGAAAAATCATCCTAAAGACATAAAGATCCCACAGAGAGCCATAAGTAAATTTTTACCGTTGTATAATATTGTAGAATTATATGTATTTAGTTCACAGAGCATGTAATGCAACAATCCAGTGTAAAAATGTGGCAAACAAATTTTTAAACAGGAATCTGCATCTGGAAGCTTTATGCCCCTTTGTGAATACAAATAGACCTTTTCAAAGCCTACTGTATCAACGGGGATTGATTTACAAAGATAAAAAATGTTTCTTTACTTTAGGGCTATGTAATGCATATTAACCTCCTGAGATGTACTCATTAACTCATAGGAAGCAGCAAAAATGCAGTATAGGGACCAAGTGGATTTGCAGATAAAAATACCAGACCATCCACTACAGGGAAGTCTTTTTTTAAAAGTGTATAAAGTGGACCTTAGGGTAACTTCTATACTCAAAGAGTTGTGGGAAATGACTGAACAACATCCTCAGACCAATTATCTGCTAGCATCCGAAAAAGGAAGATGGGTAGATTAAGCTCCTCTCATTGTACATTTTCTTCTATTCCAGTAGGTATCGTGTATTTTTTAAAAGCAATTTTAGCAAGAAAAAGTTCATTTCAATTTTGCATTGCTTTCAGGAAATGTAATTTAAAGGCATGTAATTTCAGTCAATCACATCTTGTACAGTATATCCAATACACTGGGAGTGAAGAACAGTCTTTTAAATCCGGTACCAATGTAAGTGTACCAGCGTCATTCCTGAACCAGTATCTGTACAACTGCTATATAGTTAATAGTAATCCTGGGTGTTGAGATATTTGAAGTATATGACATGTGATGAGTACCCCATGTACTACCTGTGACATCTGCAGATGGACAGATAAAATCCTCATCTGATGGGATTTTTTTGACATCCAGTAGAATGGGAACGTTACCCAATTGCAAAACATATTCAAATTATTTAGGCCACATTGTGCTATACTAGGCATAGAACAATATGGTCTGAGTTTTTATGTAATTTGGTAGGAAAACAGGAACTTGCATAGCTGTTTATTTCTTTTCAGGTTTTATGAAGTGAAAGTTTTTGTACAGAATGTATTGACTGCTGAAAAACAAAAATCATGTGTTTTTAAATAACTATTTATTTCCTTTGCACTCTTAATCAAGAAAACTAAAAGAATCCTCAAATATTCAGCACCCAGGTTAGATTTATAAGACCCAAACTGATATTTATGGAAGTAGAACTGTACTCAAAAGCTCATAATTTTCCTCTTAGCTCAATCACTGTATAACCTACTGTCCAAACCCCAGGCTACAATACAAAGGTTTAAAAATAATTCCAATGAGAGGGCTGGCTGGAGTAAATCTGGGCAACAGGGCTTAGGATATTCTGGCTATTTGCAGATCATATGCAAGACCTGTAACAGCTGTCCAAAAGACCCAAGAAAAGAGTTTCCAGTAATTATGGCATGCCTTACAAAAACAGGACTGTGGGACTCTAAAATATGTGGAACAACAGAGATGATAAACTACATTGCCCTGTCAGTTTAAAACAAGCAATTCCTAAATATTTCCAGATTTTCTCAATGTATTTTCTTTCCAATGAACGATGCTGCCAGATAAGGTGGTTGTGTATTCCATTTTGTGTTCAGTGCTGTGTCACATTACTCTTTGTATTACTTTTGTTTTCCTGCTCGTTTTAATACACCAGAGATCTCCATCTACTTGGAGACTAAAATTTCTGTCCTAACAGGGAGACTCCAGCTAAAATTTGTGAGCCAAGTCTTGGCAAAAACAGTTCTTAACTATTACATATCAACATTAGAGAATAGTTACCGTGTACAGTAATAGAATTTGAAGTGCCATTAAAACTTGAATCATCTGAAGTGTAATTGTATGTATTTTCCTAAGAGTCAGTCACCAAAAGACTATCTACCTATGTGTATGTTACTAAAATAAAGAAATAATTAGACCTTTGCCTAAAATGATCATAACTGTGAAATTCAATTCTAATACTGTACATATGATCTACCCAGAAGCTATTTAAAGATGCAGTGACAAGTTAGCTAATGTAGATGGCGACTCGGTCTCTAATATATTGTGCAGGTCACGGGATGAAATTGTACACATATATCGCATTACATTGTGCTGTAAATCAGGAGTTCGAAGTCTGGTATGTTGAACACAACAGGCTGGGCTCTCTGGAAAACTAAATGCTGCTGCTGGACTTTACCACTGCCTGTGCAGGGGTGTATGTGTCTGTGGTCTGAGGGTGTTCACTCCCACTGGCGGCGTGCCCCACAGTCAATCTGGGAGCTGGCAGGCTGCAGGAGATCGTTGTAGGGGACATGAAGAGTCAGCACACAATACCTGCGGTCCAGGTCCGAGTCGCATGGGGAACAGTTAGAGTGAGGGTGCCCTTTCTCCTGCAAGAGAGGGAGAACGGGGCCCAACATGAGCTGTATGAATGGCCCCCCTCTTACAGATAACTATTGGCAAACCTAGAGTTGTATTCAAATGCAAAGTTGTTTTAAATGGGTAAAACAATGTAGACACTTTGACACTGACCACAAGCAAAAAAATGCCAAAACATTCTTACAGGAGAGTATAGGTCCGCAACTCCTGCAGGTTTTGCTAAATCAGATAAACCATCATTTATACTACAAATAATAAACACATTTTTACCTCATGATATAAACACAGTTGGGTGGTAAGAAAGCCGCAAACGTTACTTACCGTCCAGCCTCAGTGAGTCAAGGAGAGGGGTGGGACTGAGGGGCTCCATGGGAATCTTCACAGGTGGGGAGGCAGGAGGCTTACACTAGAGACAGACACGGGAAGCAGCCAATTGGCATGCGGGAGGACAGGGGGAAGGAGAGGAGGGACAAACAAGAAAAAAAAACAGGAAATGTGGCAAGCCAATCAACACACAGAAGGGGAAACCATGACCCAAGGGAATCAGCTCACAAGGAAAGAATAATGTGGCACTCAGGGTCCAATGCAAACAGAGAACAAGGAAAGGAATGAATTCAGGAATGTTTCCGGAAACTAAAGAGCAACCAGCCGTTTGTGTACTGCAGCTTCCGATGGGTTTACAAAGGCCTTAAAAGAAGCCCTTATATGCTGTGTAAGTCCTCAGAGGCTGGAGAGGATTCTTGTTCCTATTCTAATCAAACCTTCCAATTTATTGACCAAACTAATATATTTTGAGATTGATGAAATGAAGGACTGTATCTGAGGCAGAAGCAGGTAGAGACCTAAAGAGCTAAAGGGCGGCTCTGCAGTGTTCCAAGTACTCTTGTACAGTAATTTATAGTGCTGAAGAATTGAAAGGCTTGTCCTCTCAGCTGAGCTTCTTGTGTCCTCTGAATTCCAACATTCGCTTTGTATTGGCTTGGCTGGGGGTTTTCAATGTGTTGATCAAGATTACTTTTCATGATTTCAAAACTTTACCCTAGTCAGTGAGCATAAGCTACTGTATAAGTCTTTTCCAGGCCTGACTTGAATTGTTGAAATTGTCCAGTCAATGAAACGATAAGACCAGGTAAGGAAAGGTCTTATCTGGAATGAAAGCTCACAGACTTTGCTGTATTGCGTATAAGCTAGGCTTGGCAGCCATGTGCTAGTTTAAGAAGTGTTTGCAAAAGCTTAGTGCAAGATTGTTACTTTATCTGGCATTCTTGCTGTGCTGTAGCAGCCCTAATTAACTCCAATTTACATTACAGTACATTCATCTACAGTACATCTTCATTTAAATACGGAGCCACTTTAAAGCAAAAAGGAAAAAATTAAATGGTTTCAAAGCAAAACATATATTCTGTTGGTATGTCAGACCTCATCATCACTGTTATCCCCTCCTCCTCCTTTGGATTTCTTCTTTTTTTTCTTGTCTTCCTCCTTTTTCTTGTCTTTCTCGGGCAGGATGTCATCCAACCAGGCGAGATCGTGCTGGGAGAACACCAGATCCAGCATCTTCCTCACCACGATCAAAGCCAGAATCTGAGAGAGAGTTTTATACAGACACTGCCTGACTGACTGAGAAAAAACAGCATCCTAACACTTTCTTTAAAGGTCAAGCAGTGTTCACATTAACAGGTGTTCAAACTTGATTGAGTAACAAAGAGGGATAAACTGCAAAAAAAGACCAAACAGATGAGGAGAGAAAAGGTGAGCAAAAACAGTAAGCAACCTTATGAACAGAAAAAGACGGGACCTGAGGAATTGTGTGATACTGTGCTTGTAATCACCTTGAAATTGTAATAAAACTCTACAGTTTGTGTAACTAGCTGCTATTCTTTTGATTACACCTTGTTGTTGAGTGACTGTTGCTAAGACAATGAAGAAAAAGGTTAAGAGAAACCCTGAAAGAAGAATCAGAACAGGTGCATAAATATATTAGCAAAATAAGTCAAATTGTAGCCTTTAAAAATAAATCACAGGGTTATAGTACTGATTTAAGGCAGTTTGAGGTTGTATCTATGACATTTTGCTTTTTATAATCTGGCAGCCTCTCATGCCAGAAGAAGATATCATGTGTAAGAAATTTCCCTTCGGACAGCTCTATTTCTGATGACACTACAAATAAAATGTATCCGTGCTGTAAGGAAGAACGATGAAGTGAGCATACAGCGTGAAGTACAGGGTTTTTGTTCACGGCTCGGAGATCTCTCACCATGACTGGGAAAATGATTGCCGCCACGGTTGACTTGAGAACCCACAGGACAGCCAGGCAGATCACCTGCACAACTGTGAACAGGTGAACCCTTCGCAGAGGGACATGGCGCAGGTAGATGTAGTCTGGCTGGTGCTTGGCTGGCATCAGGTACAGCTTACACCTGTCCCAGAACTGAAGGACCACACAGATACCACCATTGGTAAAGCAGAAAACCCAGATTCCTCAGCCCAGCACAAGCTGAGATATTAATAATAATAATAATAACAATAATAATAATAATAATAATAAACTTTATTTTATATAGCGCCTTTAAAGGTGGCTTCTCAAAGCGCTTTACAGGATGACAATAACAATGAATAAGAAGACTACAACAATAAATAAGAAGATTTCACAAGATATTCACAGAGCAAAGCCGGCTCTCCATTTCTCCGACAGTGATTTGCCATTTCAAGAGGTCAAAACCGAGCAAGAGTGAATTTAGGTGTAGAATAAAGAAATGAACTTAGAATTTCCTTAAATTTCCTGGAGTTAGACAAAGAGGAGGCTCTTTTAATATTGAAAAGGAAAACGTTAGTGAGTATGAAGCAGAAGGAAAACAATCTGGAATTCAGGTGTTGCAAGGTGACAGTCCAGTCAATATTCTGATTTAACTAATTATGTTTTTGATTGGTCAAATCCCATTTTTTCTCAGGTCTCTCCCTGAGAATCAAAGCAGTGTGTAATTATTTCAGAGAACCTACATTCACTTTTATTGCCACAGTCAGTGTCAAAACCATTACTGAAATAAGGTTTCTTTTGAACTGGAAAAACTCTAATACTCCCATTGCTAGTTAGTTTTGAAGAAAAGTACTGTTAGACTTATGAGTCTGGAACTGATTTCACTGAAAAGCTGTAACATTGATTCATTGAGGCATTTGTGGGCTAAAGCGCATTGTAGAGTGCTGTTAGTTATGTTTCACAAACGTCACGTTGCTTGAGTGCCCTGGAGAACAATGAGTTGAGGAAATGTGTCCTGCAAATTGCAAAGTCAGGAGAGAACGTCTGTGACGCACCTGTATTCCATTGAGCGAGGCCACTCCCATGTAGAGGAACACACCATACAGCACAGGCATGGGGATGTACTGTGAACGACAAGGGGTCAGCATGGGAGGTGAACACATCTCATAAGAACCTGTTCACTCCTCACATCATCAAGCGGTTTCTGGTACTTCCATCTAGTTTGCTGCAGTGAAGGGAATTTTCATACTCTGTTCATCTCAAACATATTGATATTAAAAATGAACACATATCAATTTATTATTAATAAATAAATGATATGTTATTGGTGCAGTAGTCACATTATGTGATTTTATGTAATTTCCATCTAAACACATCCTCAGTTTTCACCCTTTGAAGTGAAGAATAGCAACATCCAAACACAGCTCAATACTCTCAATATTCTCCCATCAGTAAGATGTTTGATGTTATTACCGGCAACATTTTACGTGAGCCTAGGGGTTCAAAAGCACAGCAGAAAAGAATAATATATAGGGGAGTTTATAAAACATAACCACCGAAAAATACTTTTCATAGGCTGAAGATTTTTGTTTCATCCTTTAAGGGTTCAAAACTATCAGGCTGGTCTTGCTTTCAATACCTCATAGAAAAACATTTTAAAGCAATCGTCGAAGACCTGAAGCAGAGCTTTTTAGTACTGGTATTGGGACAGATAAAACATATTCACCTGGAGAATGGGGGCCATGAAGATGGAGACTCCAGTGAGAACAAACACCATGATGCCAGTGAGCCTCTGTTCTCTGCAGCCCAATGACCATCAGACAGAGGAGAGAAAGCATTAAAACTGCCAGGAGAACGACAGACACAGATCACCTCCCAGGCTGCTACAGCAAAACCTGCTTGCTCTGCCCTCCAGGAGGACAGTCAGTTTGAACTAGTGCTGTTTCCAAAGAAAGAACCCATCAAGTGTGGACTTGGAGCAGCGCAGTCATCACTTCCTGATTTACTGAGCCCTATGTCTTTTGGAAAACAGGGTATTCAGGTTGGCAAAGGTACTGTGTAACACTGAAGTTTTTCTATAGGTCTCTCCCTTTTCATTATCCACTCCTCTTTCATTCCAACAGAAAACTTGTTGTCCAGGTAAATAATAATTAATAATTGCTTACATAGTATATAGCGCTTTTCTGGACACTCAACACTTTACAGGTAATGGGGACTCCTCTCCACCACCACCAATGTGCAACATCCACCTGGATGATGCGATGGCTGTCATAGTGCACCAGAACGCTCACCACACATCAGCTATGAGTGGGGAGAAGAACAGACTAATGATGGGGATAGATGGGGATGAATCATAGATGGGGATTATTAGGAGGCCATGATTGGTAAGGTCCAAAGGGAAATTTGGCCAGGACGCTGGGGTTACACCCCTGCTCTTTTTGAGAAACACCCTTTGAATGACCACAGACAGTCAGGACCTCAGTTTTACGTCTCATCTGAAGGATGGCACCTTTTTTTTTTTTACAGTATAGTGTCCCCGTCACTATACTGGGGCATTAGGACCCACATAGACCACAGGGTGAGCACCCCCTGCTGGCCCCACTAACACCTCTTCCAGCAGCAAACTTAGTTTTTCCCAGGAGGCCTCCCATCCAGGTACTGACCAGGCTCACACCTGCTTAGCTTCAGTGGGCTGCTAGTTGTGGTGCTGCAGGGTGATATGGCTGCTGGCTAATGTAAGATACTTGCTATGCTGGTATTGACAATCTACTGTAGGGCTGTCACAGACGTGTTTGTGGGGAAAACTGGAATGTTACAGTTTGGGGCATGTTCACTTTAATAGGGAGTGATATGTATTTGGATGGTGTGTCAAGGCTCCCACAAAGAATGAAGGGACAGTTCCTCACCGGACTCCCAGGAACTGAGGTTGCTCCCCAGGTGCGCTGGACTCGGTCTCCATTTTCAAGCTGTCAATGTGGGCAATCGAGATGACGGTCGCGGCCACGTACCAGGGCAGGCCCATGAAGGAACACACCGCCATCAGTATCCCAACCCAAAACAGGTCCAGGTGGTATCCTCCTCCCTTCTGCAGAGAGCGCACAGAGGTGCAGCATGTCACTCAAAATGTATTATAGCATCCCGCACCCCCCTGCTTTGGACTGTACCATGACCTTTTCCCCTTTACCAGGGCCACTCTTTCCTCTTCCTCTCCTGTTCTCCCTTCTTTGTCATTGTGTCTATTCAGCATATGCTCTACGTTTTTTTCAGGACATCCAGCTATCTTCCTGCAGTGACTAACGTGCCATTCTATAAATCATAGGGCAATAAACCTCTGTAAGCATGTTTCTCCTTCTGGGCCCTGTCTTTCAACACTGCCCACACTAGGAAACACCAGCATGCAAAAACACAAGGAGTTCCCACAATAGGTAACACACGAAGACTAACCAGGTACTGTATGTTATTCCCGTGATGTGTTCTATGGCACTGCACAGCCTCATTTTTCTCTCAACTAACTAACAAAAATCAAATAACAAATCCTTTCCAGTTTGATATATTGCCGGGATTTTAATGTGCTCAACGGCTCAATCTGTTTATCTTGCTGGTTTTTATCGCCTCCAGGAACACGAAACTGACGGAAATGCTGTGATATCTACATGGGTAAACGCAGGCACCTTGAGCTTGTGCTCCTTGCGGTTGACGATGACGGCACTGATCTGCTGGTCCATGAAGATGAGGATGGTCACGAGCAGAGCAGGGAGGAAGCTGGCCAGGTACACCCACCAGGGGTTCTTCCCGAACGGCAGGACGATCCAGCCCCTGCCTGGGCGTGTGGGCTGAGGAATGACACACACTGCACACATCACGCCACACACAAACATTCTCCAGCTCTGGAGACTGTTGCATGTAGCACTGGTATCCACTACACTAGTGTACATTTGGCAATCTTTTTTTAACTTTGACCCACTGTGCCCAGTGATACCATCACATCCATTCCCGCATCTAAAATGTACAACAAAATTCATCCTCACAGTTTCCAAGCAATCAAGAATTAAATAAGCCTCTACTTCCATCTAGTGGTTATAAAAAAATGGTGAAATAAGTGTCTAATAAGTCCTAACAATGGAACTGATGTCTTACAATAACTAACATTTTTCCAGTTGTGGTCAGAGCTAATTATACTCCTACGTGACACTGCTGCATGAAAATATGGCATGCCTTTACAGTAATTCTGCTGATTGAAAACAGGAGCACTACGAAAAAATCAACATAATCCTTTACAATCATAGGAAAGCTAAATCAAAAGACATTGACAAAGAACAACAATAAACATGACATTAGCTTAAGTAAGGATGAACCCTGTATGCAAACAATTCAAAACAATTCAATTCAAGGTACAGTACGTCCAGGCCTCCTTTACTTTTGTCAGCTACAGTTATGCAAACCCAGTGTTTGAGTTGGCAACACGTGATCTCATTTAACAGCAAAACACTATATAGCAGATGTATGTTGTAGCAACACCTGCTACTAACACATTGCCAGCAGCATTTCTGCTTTCACTTGTCACATTGGTCTTAGCAATACTACTATTAACTTAATCCCAAGGCTAAAAAATCTGACAAAATGCACATATACCTGATGTTCAGAGATTCAAATGAAAGAAGAAATATTGATTAGAATGGACAAAATACTGACAGCCTGACTCTCTACTGCTGGTGCTGGAGGTTGTCTTTGTCCTTTTCTTTCTTGAGTCATTTCTGAAGCAATGGGGTAGCAATAAGTATCTTGCGAAAATCAATAGCACTGAGGCCGAAACTCCCCCTTAGAACCCCCTTGAGTGTTCCTGGCCCAAGCAGCTGTAAGGACCAATCTGAACTAAAACAGCATACCATGGGCCTTTCACCCACATTTTATTTAAAAATCAATTGTGGTGAAAATTGAAATCCTCTAAAACCACCATCACACTGCATTAAACTATCAGCCACCTGCCCCAGTATTGTCGTACCCACCTGAAACCTGGAGCACATTGCACTGGCAATTCTCAACATTGATTTTGCTCCAAATCACACTACTGTCTCTTAAGAAAGGGGTGGTAGTTACAGTCATCTGCCACTAGAGGCCACTATGTGGCTTCTAATTACATTACTGTACTTGTAAATAGTCCTGCTAGGGGCGAAAACCTGGTAAAGGGTTTAGAGTTTCGAGACTTTCATGTGGTAAATAAGGGGCATGCACAGGGCTGGGAGGGGTGCAGAATGCTGTTTTATTCTAAGACCTTGTAAAGGCCTACACTAAAGCCTCTTGACATTTCCTTCTTGGGAATGATTGTGGTCCTTGTGGGTTTTTGTGTGTGCAGGTCTCCAGGACCACGCTGGTTGAGGGGGAGACTAGTATAAACCAGTCAAAGGTTCTGGTTATATTTATTTCATAATCAAATAGCCCATGATTTCTGATGAAAAGACTTTTTGACACATCATAAACGAAATCTGCTAGAACCGTTACACACAGTAGCTCCCTGATGTGAGGAGTAGAAGAATGAACATTAGCATTGCGGTATGCACACTAAGGTAGGAACTTAACTCTTACCTTGAACTCTGTGGGCACAATGAGTTTGGGAGTATTGAGCCCTGCTAGCATGTCTATACCCACAAACATCATGATAGACACGAAGATGGAGAAATCGCTGATTAGTTTACGTAGCTGGACAGGACAGACGGCGAGAAAGGAAGAGCAGGAGAGAGAAAAAGAAGAAATGATGACAGAAAAAAATAAAGAGGTTAGTATTTCTCCCTCAATTTGTCAATGTGAGCATGCTGTCCTTGGAGAAATTTCTTAAAAATGTTTTTAAGTTTGACTGCACTGTTCCAGTACAGTGATGATTGCTTTATTGATTTTACATAAAGCATCTTTGATGAAATATCTTCCTTCGCTTTCTCATTCATCTGTTAATGTGTACATAAAGGGTTTGGGGAACTTACATCTTTCATTATATTTGTTTTTTGTTGCGTTACATTGCGTACTTTTCAATATAACAATGAAACAAATGTCATCTCACTTTTAATATCACCACATATACAAGTCATGCCACATTTTTCAATTAAGTGACCAATAATTGCATAATGCTTGTGGATGTGATCCAAGTATTCAAAATTTTCAAAGACATTAAAAAATTTCAACCCAGTGGATCTCTTTAAAGTATACTATGAAGCTCAATTAGAGGACACACATGGAAAGTATGTAAAAGAGTATTTAAAACTGAGACAGGAGGCACTTCCTTATAACAAAGGGTTGTGGGAGTGCTGGACCAGATGCCCAGCCATGCTGTTGAAGCCGATACTCTGAGTACTTTCCAGGAACAAATCCTTCAAATCATCATGTCAATTAACTACCAACTGCCAAATAGGTAGGATGGGCCAAATGTAACCTTTCTTATGTTCTTATTGATGCCTTTTCTCAGGCTGACATGCAAAAAATGTAAATAATAAGGTAATCTACACTGTCATTATGGTTTGATTGCTGAATGATTGGATACTTTTTAAATGATGATCTTCGTAATTACCCGGTTTGTCAATCAGATCATTGAACCCCAAGACACCACCAAATAAATAAATTGAGGTCTCCTTACTGGGGAGTTGACTTTTGTTTGACAAGTAAAAAGGTACCTTGCACCTTTCTCCAGAGAAAACATTATTCTGAAATAAAATAAGCCTTCAGTCTGCGAAGAGAAGTATGCTCTTCCAAGAGAGGAGGAAGATCAGATCACCATGCAAGGAAAGGGGACAGAGCAGATGGTGTAGAAGAGGAGAGGGACTCAGACCTTGATCTCTGTGGGCACGTGCAGTTTGGGAGTGTCCAGAGCCAGCCAGTAATCCACCATGCAGAAAACCAGGATGGAGAGAACGATGGAGAAATCACTGATCAGGGAACGCAACTGGTGAGGAAGGAAAGATGGAGGGAAAGGGAAGCAGAGTGAGGTGTGTAAGAAAATAGAAACAGGTGGGGGAGTGGGGTTGAAGAGTGAGAAGAGTGTGTAGAAAGAGGAGCAGGTAGGGTAGACAAAGAGAGAAGAGGAAAAGGGTGGAGAGGGGATCAGGGAAAGGAACCAGGACCAAGGACAAAAATGAAGAGGAAAGGTTGAGATTGAGAAAAGTGCGGAGAAAAACAGATGCAGAGAAAGAGGGACAAGAAGGAAAGGTGGAAAGGGAACATCAGGTCAGGGCATGGAAGAACACTTTTCCACTCTTAAAATGACATTCCTCAAGATCTGATGAAGTCCAACAAATACAAACACATGAGATACACATAAAACTGAAACCACTCAACACCCCAATTCATTACTTTCTGTCCTAACTTATTCCCCTCATAGCAATGTCCTTTAATAATCCCACCCCATCTGCCCGAAATAATATCACAATGGTGTACTTCTCCATCCCTTCCTCTAGCAACAGGCCTGGATTAATTAATGTGCCCCCAGCTTAAAAGCTGTCCCCCAAACACTGACCGGCAAACGGAAACAAAGTTTTTCAATAGACCCACTTTAAAATTGCCGTAGCTGAATTGAAAGAAACACACTGCTGTCACAGAGAGCATTATTTTAAGATGTCTGGTTGCTGAAAATATGTAAACAGTTCCACCAAAAGAAACTTGGTTTAGGAAAAGAAAGGTGAGGAAAGGATAGGAAGTATAGTTCCTGTGATCTGAAATGGTTCTCTTTGAAACTGCATTCATGGTAGAGCTGTGGAGTCACAAACTTCAGTAAATTCCTTCAATAAGGTCCAAACTTCAAACAAAATGGAGATAGACCCTGATTTTCCCAACTTCCATAGATGCTGTGTGTTTTTGAACACAGCTGAGAGTCACCATTGACTGTGTGCCTTCAAATGATGTGGTAATGATCTTGAGGGATATTGGAGTGGCGCTAATGATTTTGGCTTCCCGATCAACTCTGATGCCACAGAGGTCTGACATCCTGCAAATAAATTCAATCAGCAGCAATGGCTTTGATTTACTCATCTGACCTCTGGTCTTAAGCCTGCTTTTCCATAAGACTGCTCTTCTCTGTCTGGGTGCCTGGGCTCACCTTGGTGGGGAAGTAGCGGCTGGACTTAAACTTCTTCAGTGTGACAGTCATGGTGTAGGTGCCGAAGAAGAGGATGAAGGACATGAGAGCCAAGTCGGGGACATACTTGCAGGTCTTGCCCACCAGACTGCCCCCATACTTCAGACACTCCTTCTTGCTCAGTTGGCTCCAGTCCAGCGCTGTGACATTGACAGGATTGTACTGACAGGGACACACAGACACAGAGAGAGAAAGAGCGAGAGCAACAGAGAGAGAAACACAGAAAAAGAGAGAGAAAGGGGAGCCAATAGCATAACTCAGAGTAGCACCTTAACATCCAGGTCACTCACAACACATGAAGCCAGCAGCCCTCTGTTGCAGCCAACAGTCCAGGATCATGCTACTGTATATGCAGTCTATGAATATATGCATGTTCATTGCCATAGATACCAAACTATTAACCTGACATCAATGAACCTCATCTCAATTAGCTTCCAGTCATTTGTAAGTTGCGATGTTAAGATGCTTTAAAAACTAAAGCTGGTCTACATCATACCCGTCAACACATTTTCATAGTCTTTTGTATGATTTACTGATTTCAAACATTTAAAATCCTTAAAACTCTCCAACGTGGGGGATGTAGCCCCCCCTGCATATTTCAATACATAGAAAGCTATGCTTCCTGCACTCGGGATCAACATTAAAAATAAAAGGCAAGGCTACTGTCAGCTTTCGGTCTTCATCATCTCTGAAACGATGAAAGGCCACAAGACACAGAGGTCATCTGTAAAACGCGACATCTGCTACTGTGTGCTGCTGCAGCAGGCCGGCTGTAAAGATGGCGGAACTGTCTATTGATCAAGTGATCATGCAGATGCGTCCGCAATAGACCCTGCACGGCAGACAGATCTGTTGTGGTGCCTGGGTCTGCTCTGACGACGGAGTGGATGTTGTGTGTCTCCTATTTTGAAGGCAGATCCTATTCCTACAGTAGGGCTGTGAGCAGGCTGGGGTACCGGACCACAGCCGCTTCACATGCCTTCTAGATCGAGCGTCTTGCCCGTCTTGTACCGCCAGTCGCTCCCCTCAGTGGTTTCAGCTAGCCTGAGCAATGGCTGGTGCCTGGGGTTTCCAAATATATTCGGTTGGAATTTAAAAAAAAAGACTCCCTACTGTACATGTCCAGACTCCAGTTTTAATTGAAAAGGCTATATGGAAAGGAATCGAAACATGGAGGACAGAGGAGTTTCTGATTAAACCTGAAGCGATGCAGCTAAATCTATCCAGCACAAAACAAAGCAACTTACCACAGAGATATTAGTGTTGTTTGGGGCCACCAGAGCTGAAACATTGAAGGTCATTGTAGCCACTGTTTAAATACAAAACAAGGATAGGTTAACATTCATAAATTGTACTTTTCAGATACTGTAGATGTACTAGATGTACTTTTTCCACAAAATGCAGACATCTGTGGATGTCTTGGCCATATTTTGGGATGTATTTGAAATGTAAGAAAAAAGTTGTTTAGCTGTTTCCTCCATTTTTTTTCTGGATCACATTCACCATCTTTGTTGCATTTGTAAACCTTTGTTGCACGCTAAAATGGACACAATCAAAATCACATTCTACATGCGGAACTCTCTTTTTCTTTGCAAGTAAAACAAGTAAAATGATAAGTATAGTAAGATTTTACTGGTAATTCTAATCCTAACCCTAACTCAAACATAAAAAAGCTGTTTCTGGCATTTCTGTAGACTACATTAATTCTATATTTTAAAGATCATTTGTTATCTTGAAATAATGACATAATTTTCATGTGATTATGAGATAACTTGGTATTTTTGTCCTTGATGACAGTGATTTGCTCCAGACTGCTTTTTAATAGCATGTTACAAAAAAAGCATAGAAATTCAAACAGTGTCACAGCAGATGCTTTTACAGTAGTGAATAGCTAGCACACTAATTGATTCTGACTACATTCTGGTTCATTAAACCACATTTTCAGCTCATTAATTCTTAGTTTACATCTAATTTCTCTGCTTTTTTAAGGTGTTACCAAATACTCAGGTATCTTCAGTTTGATATACCTCTATCTTTTGATCATGTGATCTCATTTGGTAATGTGACATGATCACAGTACAGAAATAGCCTTAAAGTCAGAACAGGGTTAAGGAGGGTGCTGAAAGATACCATTTCATATGCAAACCAGAGGTGGATCCTGCTAACAGCTTTAGAGAAATGTGAATATTGTGATCTGTGAGCTCATAGTCGCATCTGATCTTCAGACAGGCTTTTTAATAAAAGAGTACAAGTGGCATGGTCAATTTCTGCAGGGCAATTTGTATTTGGGATCCAGATCTGAATCTTCAGGTGATAGCATGTTTGTTCAATCACACTCAGCACCACAGCAGGACAGATTATGTCAGAGCACATTTTGCAGAGCTGTAAATAAATGTGATACTCACTCAGAATTAATAGCAGCCGAAATGTGTGTGTGCAGCAGAAAGAGACATGGTACAAATCAGTTACAACAGTTAAAAATCACAGACATTTTTAAAATGCAACTACATGGAGGTCTTTATATCACAGGACACTTCCTTGGGTTTTGGAAAAAATACCAAAACACAATTTAGTGGTAAACTGATTCTTTTGCAGTCCGTTAAAGACAAATCATTGAAAGAACTCGTGATTATTTATGATTATTACATTATGGCAGAAAAATCTAAATTTCCTCAAAAACATAAAACACAATAATTCAGACATAAAGACCTCACAATATCTTACGTCTATAGATTTTACACAGCCACACCAACCCAATTATTATTATCTTTTAAATATTCCTTAAGGTTCAAGCATTGTGGTGCTAAAAAAGAAAAGGGAATATTTTGTGCATGTAAGAGAAGAGAACCTGCAACTTCAGTATATACAGTATGTACAAAATGACAGATAATAAGACAGCCTTTTCATTTTTCAACACCTCCTTGGTGATAAAGAATTGTGGCAAGATGAGACAAAAATCTACATCTCAACATTTTGTATAGTGGAAGACAGAGGTCAGGTATGAAGCAGGATTAATGATGATCAATAATGAAGATTTTTTAAGATACACCCCCTTTTTGACTCCCTCAAGTGGAGTCAAGCTTGAAATACATCTCATTATGGAGTGATCTTGAATCTCCAGAGATGAATGAAATCTCTGAATGCCTCTATACAGATAAGCAGATACATCAAGCAAAATACATATCACTCCTATTTGTGCAAAGCTGGCTAAAAGGAACAACACTGAAAAGTGTCCAGTTACATTTCTGAGAGAGATTTTAAGTGTTTGTTCCTTCAAAAGTTGGAAGGATAACAATTTAAATTTCCTAAGGTACAGTATGCTCAGGATTTAACTAACTGTCTATATAGTGTTCTGCTAAAATCTACTTGCTTTACTGTTTAATTTATTGATCCACCAAAACAGCTTTAGGATGGAAATATCAAAATGGTCCATATCTTAGGAGTAATGAACCCCTTGGGACTGTACTTTTTGGTGAGCTTAAAGATAAGAACTTGATGGAATTTAGGGTGAATGAATTGACTTGGAAATCTCTTCGATCTGTAGTTTTACAAATGTACAAATATGAATTGAGCACACTTATATTGTTTTGGATTGCAGAGATACAGCACACAGATAAACAATATTAATAAGCAGTTTGAGTTTAATTAAAATGTATATTCATGCACCAAGAAATGTATACAAGTGGCCGTAAATGTACTGTCCAACTAATGTAACAAAAACATAGATCCTAAAGTTATTTAAGGTTATAAAAGCCTTTAAGACTTTAAGACTAAAAGGGGCTGAAAGAACTGATGTTTTTTTCTAGAAAACCACCATGAAACAGAAGTTTCTAAACCAAACTTTTGAAAACTCCAGACCCGATTTTCCACTGTGGGGAAATTATGGGCAAACTGCCCAAATAATTAACTTACTAATGATTGGGCAGTTTGCCTAAAGAGGATAATAAGTACCTTAGAGTGAAAGGATACATTTAAAAAGAGATTTTTAAGTTCTTTAAGCCAGAAAACTGCAAATGAAACTGCTGAGCAGATGTGGAATAAGTAGGGAAAAATAATTAAAAACAAGGCACTGTCAGTGACTTCACCCTCCTGCCCCACTCCCCTTCTGTTCCTCCCCCAGAGGAAGTGAGCCAAGGGCAGACTCACCTGGATCAGGGGCCATGCATTCGCACTTATACAAGGTCACGTAGTCGGATTTGAAGTCAGAGTTGATGGGGTAGTACTTGAAGGCACCTATCATTTTCTTGATGGCATCGTAGATGAAGATGAAGGAGATGAGCGTGGAGAAGCCCTCTTCGGTGAAGCGGGTGATGTATTTGATGATGAAGCTAGCATCTGTGGCGACTAACACAAAACACTGCAGACAGGAGTGCAGCCCAATCCACAACCGGAACTCCAAGTAGTCAATGTCGTTTCCCCTAGGACAGGAATTACAGTGACACTCACTTAAATACACACATGTTGGTATGTTTGGGATTTTATCTTACTGCTTTATTTTATTTTTTGCTAAGAATGCGAAGGTTGCAACTGGTGTGAATGTGCATGTATGTATGTATATGTCTCTGTGCACTGCTGATAAGTGGAGAAACCCATAGATTACATTATTTCTCCTTCAAATTCTAATTAATTGAAAGAAACCTAGCTGTAACTAACATTTACATGAAGCACTGGTATTGTCAGAGATGATGTAAAATATATGACAAAAGAATGTCTTTGACAGGACATCCAACATAATTTATATATTATGACATACTTTTTTTAAGTCTGTGTTCACTTGCCTGTGGAGGTGTGCATGCATACCTGTATATATATGTGTATCTGTATGGATTTTCAGCCCATAGGTGTATGCAGAACACTTACAGCCTGTAGGCTCTTACTTGCTAAAATCAAACAGCAGCTTCTCGAAGATTAGAATGGGCCCTGTGCTGCTCAGGATGATGAGTGGCTGTCCCCCAAAGAAGCAGAACACAGTGCCTGCCATTGCCGTGCCGAGGAAACTCTCCATCACGCCCTGGCACAGACACAGAAAAACCATCATGCACAGTTCTGCACACAGGTGAAATTTCTCAGTACTATACAGTATATCGACAGCGCCAGCCCTGAAGGCAAAAGCCACAAACACAAACCACAGGTTTCTAAAAGGACAATGAAGTTCTTCTTCTATCAAGGTAAGACTCCAAGCTGATGTGTTCATTCTTAGTTCTAGGAAAACAGAAACAAGCTTGATAGTTGCAAGAAGAAGGTGGATTAGACAGGGGTGAGGATCAGAGCATATCCTGTTTCCAGTGCAGCTTGAGCAGGACCTCCGTCCTGGAATGTGAGGGTACCTATCTGTGCATGGCAAACAGTACGATTAGATTGAAAAACATGTGACTTCAATTACACCCATTACCTTTTAGACTTATTGAACACCCTTTTCATGTACAGTAGATGTTATCTGATGGCTGTCTGTTGTATACAGATGTTGCTTTGAGTGCCTTTGAGAGACACTGTGCGGGTGTAGGTGTGAAGAGCGAATGGTGCAGGATGTACCTGGTAGTTGTCTGTGGCATCTCCCAGCAGCCCCCCGAAGGTGATGGCATTGGTGATGCAGCCCAGGTAAATGAAGAGGATGGTGGAGATGGACTGGATATGGAAGCCCTCATATAAGTCACTGGGAAACCACGGCAGCTTTCTCTTGATGTCGAGGAAAAGTCCTCCGCAAAACCTGCAGCAGAGCATGCCTCAGGTCAATGTAGAAAACAAGTCAATGCAGGAGCACACAAATGCCACAGCTGACATCTGAGAGTGCTTTTCAGCAGCGATAACACCACCATCATCATAGTCAAGAATAAGAATAAGAATAAAAAACAACAGTACATTAAATCAACTTAGAATTAAACAAGTAAAACCACTTAGGCTTCCTTAAACAAATGAGAGTTTTACACATTAATAAAACAGGGTCCGGATCCTGCAGGTCTAAAAGGGGCTCCCATTCTCCAGAGTCACACCACCCTACCAGCCAACAGTCAGAGCACAGATCTGATCGTATGCCTACGTAGGAACGTGTGCTCCTCCAGACTCCCTGTTGTCCGAGCATACCTCCCTGTCCAGAGAAGTTCCTCGCCCACTTCGTGGGGTGCTGGCATCTCCTCGTCCTCACTGACACCTCCTCCACCTCCTGCCATCCCATTCATTTGTCCCGCCTCGTTCACAGAGAACACAGACTTCCTGTGGAGACGGCAGGCTGATTTCACACAGTGCTTTTGAAAGCAATCATCTCAAAACACTTAAGTCATTTTGCATGTGTTTCAGATGGTGTACACTTAACAGCTGTTTTAATACAGCACGTATTTCTTTCTCAAATGAACACTGAATGCCGAGTAGCTGAAGCATTTATTTGGATAATTGGTGCAAAGAGGTGTAAATGTTCTTAATAATAGGAAAGAAAATCTCCACACTCCAAGCAAGGCATGCATGTGAAACAGTAAGGTGTGAGATACACATCGCTGAACAAAGTGCTTGTAATACAGTAACAGTTTGTCATACTGATTAACAAAACCTTCCTAGAACACCTGTTCTCACCTACTGTGTTGGTGCATGGGATGTTTATTGGGTGTGCAGTGAATGTGGGTCTTCAGTGTGAATCAGTGTGAGTATGCAGTTTAATAGTGCATGCAATATCAAAGAAAAATATGTTCTGTTTAGCTGATCATTTGTTTCTGGGTGGGTGTGAGTGTCCAGTGTACTGTTTGTGTGAAAGAGGTCATTCAGCTGACCTCTTCTCAGCAGAGGGCAATTTCTTTGGTGGTTCTATGCGGATTGTGGGGTCCCACTCCCCAGGAGGAAGAACAATGACCTCATCCAGAAACTCGTCAATGCCTGCGATCAGGTCCTCTCTGTCCCGCGCCTTATACGCCACATCACTGAAGAGCTGCACAACAAGGGCAATCACGCACCAGAAGCAAAGACAGACACAGGTCACATCACAGAGATACCATGCAGCACACAGATAAACTATAAATAACTATACTATATACTCTATATATAAACTATATAGAATACAGTATACAAGAGAAGGAAAGCCATTGATTGAGCAGTAAAAATGTATTTACTCAAGTCCTAAGCAAAGTTTTAAGAAGCGTTTGAAAACCTAAGTGATTGAAGAGTTAGCAGAGCTCAGGGGCCTATTCAAACGCCATTAACAACCACACTAAAGTTAACATCTATTTAGTTTTATCCCATATAGGAGATTAACACAAAACTATCCGGAAACTGAAATAAATCTTTTAAGGAAACCATTTAATAATGGAGAGACAGGGCTTGAGAAAGATCTTTGGATTGAAAAATTAGCTTTTGTTTAAATCCCTGTTTGTGGAGAAGTAGCTGTGCAAGAAGGATTATACTGTACCTCTTTTACAAATGTTAGTTTAAACATTTTTTCTTGATACTGATATTATATCAGATGGCTATTGACTTTAGGTTACTTTTTTCCTTTAATTACATGGTAAATTAACATTGCAAATGTTGTATGCATATAGACCGCTGAATTCCTTAAGCCAGGAACATCCTACCCAATGTGACCACAGTTCTTCTCTGGGGAAGGCAGCCACAAAGAGCAAACTTCTGAGAAAAAGGCATCACACACCGCCAGATGCAACTATAGAAGGTTTATATAATTATTTAACATATTTCCTGAAGTACAATATGTCCCGAGTTCCCAGCAGTCATTGTGCAGTTTATACAGCAACAACAGGGCAATATACAGTACATGATTAAACTGTATATTGTAATTTGGAATTAAAATTGTAATGCTGTTCACACAACAATGTCAAAAATGATGACAAGAGTAAAAATGATGTGCACTTCAAATTTCAATGCTGTTTGCAAATCTTCTTATGCCTTGGTCTTTATTGCCTTGTCACAGAAGGATTTGAAAGCAATACAGTAAAAGCAAGAGTGTTCTTGCCATTTTGGACCTGCATTGTTTTGCTGCTGTTCACAGCTTCTGCATTAAGACAATTTTTGTGGAAGGTTGATGCAACCCTACAAACCTCATAGCCCGACGTACTTTCAGTGTGATTGAAAACTCGTGTTGGCTTTGATTGCTTTGGGGCTGATGTGCTCCTGAGTTTAAGTGACAACTGCAGTATTGCTCCAATGAAATCAAAACTTTCACTCTAAACTGTGCAGATTAGCTGGTCAATGGACAGATGTCACCACTCGAAACTACTGTTGGGCAGGAAGGATCATTTTCCTTTATTTTTCATGTTATAAACATTAAATCTGGATATGCTAAAAGTTTCTGTATCTTAGCTGGCAGCCATGACTCCTGCAATATACAGGCAGAATAAAGACGACCTGACAAGCAAGTTGTCATAATCTTCCTGTTGTCCATCGTTTGGCACCGCACGCTCTACAGAGAATCACAGGAGAGTCCGCTGTTAGGCTCCCAGAAAAGAGTCACGGCTCTGCCGAGTGCCCGAGGAGTCCCAACGGATTAATCCCAGACCAGACCCTGGCAAACACTCTGCTGATTGTGCGTTTCAGGAATACTGGTCAAAGACAACTTCTGACATGACCCAGGCTTGGATCTGCATCTTGGTGCTGTACAGCTCAAATCTTTACCATCTGAGTCTTTCCAGAGCCTTCTGTTCGTTTTTGATTCAATTTACAACCTAGTACTTGGACCAATCTGGTTACAGCCCAGAGCTCCACAACACAGTAATGACATACAGGCCAGTGACTCGACGTTCTCAAGCAAGCATCTTTCTTGTAGTCTCATGCTTACATCATCCACCATGAGCGTGGCAATGGCCCTTCCTATCTCGTTGTAGGATTTCGCTTTTCCATGGGGACCAAGCAAAACAAACAGGAACCTGGGGGACACAGGGAGAGACAGGCAAAGTCAGAGAGAGTGCAATATGCAGCTGGCTGAAACAGTAACAAGCAGAATACAACTCTTTAGCAGGTTATGGTCTGATTACTTTCTCCCAGCATAGCTGTAATATATACAGGTATATACTGTATATTGTCAGTATTACAAGTCCTATATTTTATCTGATATTCAGTAGTGATCGCAGAGAGAGATGTTTCAGAGAGAGATGGGAGCTGGCAGGTGGTGTAACACTGTGACCCTGTTTAAGAGTGATGTCTTAATCTCTCCCAAGTTTGTTGAAGTGAGAACTGGCTCTTCTGGGATGGTCGATACCTAATGTCAAATAGACCTCAGCCACTGCTCTGTTCTGGGCTTTGCATCAGTGGATGCTCCCAGAGTCACTTTTTCACCGTCGGGACATGGCGAGGGCTGACCTGGTGGGCACGGGCACCTCGGTGAGCCCGCCCAGCGTGGTGGCCTGCGCCAGCCGCACAAACGCCACGAAGGGCTTGTCCAGGAAGTCCACCTCCCCCACCAGCACATTTGAGGCTTCGGCGTCCCGCGGGATCTTCTTCATGAACTTGTTCTTCAGCTGAGGACACAGGCCAGAGACAGAGTTAGAGCAGGACACACCTGGGACCCCGCCTGTGACGCAGGTACTGATCTTCATGTTTGAACACACTGGGAATGTGATGCTCCCACACTACTGCTTGCACATGTTTCTCCATTTACTCTATTAACTGGAAGCTTTAGTACAAACTGCAAAAATGAAAGAAAAACACTTACAGATTTTTTTTTTTACATGAACATGTTTGCCATTAAAACAAGGTGACAAGCTTGAAATGACCAACAACTAATATTGCTTTCTTCATGTAAGAAACTTACTTATAGAATTATGTAAATGCAATAAATGCAGCCAATGCGATAGGGACAATATACAGCCCTGAAAATATTACTGGGAGCTTGTACGCTTGATAAATACTGTAAAAACTTGTATTATTAACTTTTAGGGATGACAGATTAAGGGGAGGAAGGAATGAAAGTATTAGATAATTCAGTTGTACCTCTGAATTTCAGTTTGTCCAAACATCACTAAGATGTGCAGTTAGACAAAGACAGCAGTAAAATAGAATGCAGGGAGCAGATTTTTCCTTTGCTACAATGCACTCTACAGTGGCCAGGAACTTTGATTTAAGCTTCCAGCTATGGGTTGCTTAATTAAACTGGCCAAAATCAATCAGCCTGTTTCCTACCATATCTTACTGTTTTTTTTTTATTTAAACAACAACAAACATTTAACAAGCTTCTATAATCAAGCGCAAAAAAATAAACTGGTCATGAATATAAACATTCATGATAGACAGTTAACCACTTGGAGTTTCATCACTGTAGTTCTGAGTTGCACTAAGGAAGGCGGAACTGGATCTGGCTGCCATGATTGATCATCATGCAGAAAGTTAATTATTATACCATGTAAACAGAAAGCACAATTCCAGGGGCTTTTGTAGTGTGGTAACTTCTCACCCCATAATCACTGTCTATGGAAGTAGAACACTGTGACAGCAACTTTCAATTAAATTAAAATGTAATGGAAACAGGGTGAATCATTGTAATGTGGATTAAAGGACCATGGTAAAATGCAAAAGTCACCACATTAATCATGGAAAAGTTTAATTAGGCAGCGGTGTGCAGCAGACATTGTTTGCCAACTGTTAAATGTCACTGTCTCTGATGACTACATGTGACACTATGAAAACGTGGGCCAGAGAGAAAACTCCGCAGTTTTCAATGCAGCTCAATACATTTCTGTACAGACATCCTGCCATGCCCTCTGGTATTCTCATTAGGACACCACTGAGAGTCAATATTCAAAAAGAGCACTGGGGTGTTTGGCCGAGGGAAGCATTTTAAATCCGCATATTGTACCTGGTAAATATACAATAGGTATTTCAAATATGCTGATCCTGAAACCGAAGGAAGGAAACACCAGGTACCAAGAGTTATTTGTAGTCCATGTTGAGTAATTACACTACCACGATTGCCTTAATACTTGCTTGGTATTCACATTTTGCAAGATTACAATAAATATATGGTCTCTATTTCATCATAAAAGACATATACTATGTAACACATGGGGAAAAAAAACATGTTGGGAATATTTTTTTTGATAACGCAGGAATTGTCCCATCTAAATCTAAACACAGAAGAACACTGAATGTTCCTTCATTGAGCGTTTTATAGTGTCAAGAATGTTCTGCCTGCATGATTCAGGTCTCCTACTGTAAAGAATGACAGTGCACCCTGGTAGGTTTCTAAGAAATACTTGCCCTCCCACCACGTGCACAAGGAATGGCAAGTGCTTAGGCAAAATCATTTCATAATCTTTTAATGCCACTTTGAAAGTCAAATTGATGTTGTTTTTTCAGCAATATGAACAAGCCTGAATTGTTGTTGCTTTCCCCCCATAAGTCCCCAGTTAAAGCCCAGACTGCGTGTGTGCTTGGGAGGTAAAACTAAAATAGCAGCATGACTTCAGACCTGGGGTGCTTTCATGCACTGGGGTTTCTAATACAGCCCCCTGGTACCATGCAGTGATTTGGCTGAGGGAAATCAGTTTAGATTTTCGGGTTTTTAAGTCTGTGAGCCAGATCCCACTGTGAACAAGGACACCGACGAACAGATGAAAAGGAGGCATAGCAGGTGTTATATTCATGTCCAGTAAAAATTAATTAATCCCCAGCTAATGTGGGAGGCTGCGGGGGGGAGCTTTGAAGATATAAAACCTTTGTCACCAGGGTCAAAACATGCTGCCCTACGATCTATGGTGACCCCAGGTATAAAAATAATATAAAATCAGATTGTGAATACCTCAGAGTATTAAGTAACTTTCTTCTCCATTTCTTTAGCATGACCGAAGAGTGACCTAACAGCAGGTTTCGGCCAGTGGCTTTTCTAAAATGCCCTCTTTTGCCTTATATTCCAGCAAGGTATCCCAGCGGCTTTGGAGGCGAGTTGTAAAGAGATTAAGGTCCCTTCACATGACTGTTTACTAGACCAGGATTTCTCCCACCTCCAGAGAATCAGACCCAGCCTTGTTTATGATGGTAAATAGGAACAAGGCCTGACTGTTACCTTCCTAAGCTCCCCCAAAGCTGGAGTGACAGCAGCAGTTAATGAGGACGCAAAAATAAACAATAACGGAATTGAGACTGAGGTACCAACTCTTTGAAAAGTCACAATATAATATAGGTGGGTAGCTGCGTCAGCATGCGTAGGCTGCAAAGGAACAAGTAATAGGTTTATTCCATGCTGAAAAAAAGAAGAAAGAGAACACAACGTTTCGGCCGTGGAGCCTTCTTCAGGTGTGAGAGAGACAGGGCAGTAGGCAAAGGATATAATATAATAATATAATATAAGGATATAATAATATAATATAGACTGCTTTAAAGTAACACTACTTGTTTACCGTAATCTTGAAAAAGAATAGGTATTGTACAAATGTTGTGCTCTGTATATCTAAGAGGCGGTTTCTGAAATCACTCCAAATAGAAGAAGCGTTGATTTACCTGGTCAGTGCTGGGGGTGTCAGAAATGTCATTCATGCTCCTGCTTTGTGCATGACCTGCGTGGAACCAGGGGAAATAAGAAAAGGCATTACCACTTGAACCAGCAGTGACATCAGCATCTCATGAGTCAAGATGGTGCTCGCTGCTCTTTTCACGCGCTCTTGCTGCTCAGCACATGGGCTTCTCACACAGAGGAAGCGGGGGCACCTGTGAGTTAGGAATAGTTTGCCACTCCCGAAGCACTTGAGCTGCACTGTGTAACAGCAGCTTGTGTGAAAGGAAGCACTTCTTTTTTGACTGGTTGCTATACCTGCTTTTGAGCATTCTCCAGTTCTCACTCTCAAATTGAGAAGTTCTGGTCTTCAGTGTCTAGTAGCCTTAAGTGAAATAGCGTAACTCAAGTGGTGTCAGGAGTAAGGAGCTATTTGTCTGTACAACTTGAAAAAGAACCACGTTTTTCCTTTGTGTGGGGACTTGCAGTTTGCATCATGAAGCTTTGAAATTGTAATCTCTTCTAAGCTCTGAGGAGTTATGTTAAGCTAACCAAAGCCTGGAACATTATATAACACTCAGCAATCTACCAGTTTTTCTATGTGGACTGACTCAGACTTCCTGCATTCACAGAGGCTGTCTTGGATCAAACCTTAAGCCTCTGTCTCTGTCCCTGCTGTTATTTGCTTCTGTATCACAATTATTTCATTCCAGGCCTTGTGCCCTTGTTGCCCAACACAACGGTCTACTGTTGAGGGCTGACCCAGCCGTGACCTCTCCGATTTCCACCTGTGTCTAGTAACATAATTAATAGACAACTAAAATAGGAGGGGAAAGAGGTCAATTGGAGGGAAAAAGTAATGGACACATTGTGGAAACCTCACATCAAAATGCTTTCCTTTTTACCCACTATTCCCTTTGGGCATGCTGTAACAGGTTAAGTGAGAGGTTTGGTGTGAGACATTAGAAAGGGGCTTTTTAGAATGTGGGCTTAGTTCTGCCCGTAATGAAATTAGGAATTTTCTGAGGAACGGATGCAGCACTGCCATATTGCAGCTTCCGTACGAGCCTCCTTTCCAGTAGAGGAGGAGGAGAAAAGTTGGATCAGCAGGACTTACGCAGACGCCCATAGTTCCTGGCCTGCCTCATGCACAGGTCCTCTGTGGAGCGATGGAAACCAGCCCCAGCACTGGGACTCCGGCTGGGGCTGCGGTCTGCCCCCAAGCAGGGGGAGAGAAGGGGAGAGAAAGAGGCCGGGGGGGGAAGAGAGACAGAGGGAGGCAGTTTTGAGAGGGAGAAAAGGGGCAGAGACCGAGAAAGAGTAGGGTTGAGACAGAAGAGAGAGTAGAAGAAAGAAGATGGAGAAAACAAGAAAAAAGTGTGGATTTATGAAGAGGAGAAGAGAGAAAAAAAGGTAAGAGTGGGGAAGTGGTCCCGAGAAAGAACACACAGATGCAGAGAGAAAAAATATCAAGACAAGACGGGGTGGTAAGATTTGGGTTTAGAGGGAAAACAGAAAAGGAGAAGAACATTAGTGAAAGGGCTGTTTGATTCAGTTAAAGATTACAGTTGCCCCGGTCAGCTGAATGGCATTTTTTAAATAATCTCTGCGTGTGACATAATTTTAAATGGGGAAAAAAAAAATCTTTCAAGCACTGCCAAAGTTTTACATCACAACAAAGTGCTGAGAGTTACGACTTGTCAAGAAACATTCCTGCAGTATCTGCCACTCAGCTGACTCTCTGTAAACCAATCACCATTCTGATCATAATAAATCATTACAGAAGAACTTCACAGGGACCTCATCCTCTCTGGCACTGAAGGTGGGGACAGAAAATAGTAAAATAGAAAAAGAAGATCCCTACAAAATAGGCCTTGTATATTGGTGCAATGTTCTCTGATGTTATTGATGGTTACATTACCTACATGCTGTATGCAGAACATGAAAGTGCCTCGAGATGTGTAGTTTAGGTTAATAGTCTATAAATTGCCCCTGTGTGTTTAGTGGTGGTCTGGCATCCTCTTCAGGGTGCATGTTGCCTTGCCTCCATTCTCAGTTAGGAACTGACACACTGTGACGTTCGTTGGAGAAGCAGCGGGATGAATGAACCTGAAGTGTTTCAGATGTTCTTTTTCAACAATTTCTGTATGAGAGATTTAGGACTATGCAACTCTTTGCATTTAAGAATTTAAAGAATGTTTCCAGAGAGATTGTGAGCAGAAAGATTGTGAACTATAGTCCAGATAAAATAAGCTTTTTCTTAATATTTAAGCAGATACATAACTTATGCGTATATAATATACAGTGGATGTCATCGTGTACCCAAATGAATCCAGCAAAACCTGAAATGGACCATTTTCTACATGATGGGAATCTTGTTTCTCATGGTTACATACTGTACAACCCGTTTTTCCAAAACCGTATTACAGGATCCAGCAAGTCTCTTCTGGCTTGTGATCCCAATTTATCCCCAGGATGTGCGTCTCAGGGTGTTCTTGTTTTCATATTGCACCGAACGCTCCAGTTTCCTTGTTGCCAATATGACGAATAACAGGCTGGAGATGTCTTTATAGGCTCACCAACAGTTATATTGCCAGTTTCATTACAGTGAGGTGTGCCAATCAGCAAAGAGGCAGAGACTGAAAGTGCAGGCATGTGCTGGATGCAGAGGAGGGATTCATGTTGTCATCTTAAAGCTTCTTACACTATATACATCTACCGTCGCTCTCCTAAATCAATAGATTATTGCTGTTGGCCAGGAACTGATGTCATCTGATGGAATCCAGATTTCATCAGGAGTTTTGACCCTTATCCATATTGCCCTCCTGCTGGCGGGTCAGCAGTGATAGCCAGTCACTACTCATCTACTCCTGGCCTCCAGCATAAGGTTCTCTCTCTTCGCTGCCTCTCCCAGTCTTTGAAGTGCTGTCTTTCTGTCCCTCCCAATCAGCGCAACAGCTGGAAGCATTATCCACACTGATTGTGTGGGAAATCCTCTGCACCAACCTTCACTGGGAACAACCATGTCTGCCACCCTTTCCCTCTGTAAATCTGTACTACAGTGTACTGTATGTGGCACTTATGCTCTTAAAGACCTCCTCACATCCTTCCTCCAACGGTACCATCAGATCAAAGAGGATGATCTTTCTCACTTCTGTGGACCACATCACCACATCTTTATGGATGCTTGTACAACATCTGGAAAATGCAGCCTTTCTCCAAGATCCACTCTCATATCCCGTGATGGAGCTCTATGCAAGACAGAATCTTTGATTTTCCTTGACCTTGTCTGCTTCTCACCCTCCTTGACAAATGCAACTGCGCTTGTAGATCCTTCATGAGCTTGCCCTTTCTTCCTTCTCTCTTTCTCCAGGATGTCCAGAGAGGATATGTGTCATGGTACCCCCACTCCCCTGAGCCTGCACAGTGGATCTTCCCTGACTTGGATAGATTTGTTGGTGATGGGAGGATGTCATAGGCTGCCCACAGCAGAACGTTGTGATTACTCATGTTTTTTAATTTAAATTAATAACTTATAATACTAATAACTTAAATCCAGTGCATCAGTACTTTAATGATCATATAGGGAGGGTTACTTACTGTACGTCTTTCAACCATACATATACCACTGAACATTAAGTGACAGTATAGCGGTGCACTTGGTTATATGTGAATTTGACTGTTCAAGACCTCAAGAATGTCAAGACCCTACTGTACTGGGAACTTAACAGACCCTGTTTTTAGAGAGCAGGTCACACATACATTCTATACATAGTGTACAATACAGAAAGAGAGGCAAGGCCAGACAGGGAGGTGGAGTTCCGGGGACTCACTGGTGGAGGAGGTGGAGACGGACTTGCCGATGTCCGCCAGCGAGCGGTGGATGGGCTTCTTGGTCTGGTGCCGGTGCTTCCGGAGCAGCACGAAGCTGATCTTGTCCCGGAGCTCGGGGTTGATCAGCCCTTCCTCCACCTGACGCTCGATAATATCGTCTGAAAGAAACACATGCGGTCTGGAAGGATAGCATCTGAATCATACTCAGATTGTATCGCCCGAGATTGTATGTCCTGGACTAGTCTGCAATTGAATTTGACTTCATTCTAGACAGGCTGTACATCAGTACAGATATTCATTTTATTTAACGGTGGGACTTTTGCCTCCATTTCTCATTTCTACAATCTCTGACTGTTTCGGCCATGTCATCTCCTGTCTGTGGTCGTCCATGGACACTAATGTGAGCATTAGTTCTCTTAATGCTTGGAACTGCCAAAAATAAATAAATTCATTGATCTGCTACATGGTAAGCACAGCATCTCCAGCATGTCATACCTACGATCTGTGGCAGGGAGTAGCCATCAAGATCCAACAGGATGGTGCCAGTCTGCAGGCAGGTGCGCAGCTCAAACAGGCTGTGCAGGGACAGTGTGGACACGTGGGGCTTGCTCCACCTCTCACCGCCTTCTTCCACCTTCTCCTCAAACTTCACCCACCTGAGAGACACACACACTCAAACATGAGCACCAGGCTTCTGCTGACCTCTAGAAGAATTCTGCCCTCTGCACCCAACTTGCACATGGTCCTCTGAGAGAGGTCAGGAGCTCCATTCTCCTCACAAGCCACCAGCATTGATCTTCAAGTGCTAGATAGAGTGTTAGATAGAGTGTGTAATTGTGTTTATGATTTTCATAAGACAAAAGCAAGGACCATAAACCCTAACCTAATTATGATTTTTCTGATCCTGTGTAAAGCTCCAGTATTAACTGGTTCACCAATTTATGTATTTGCTTTTTCATCCATGATGTTGCTCTACCTCAGTGACTAACATTATTAAAAGCAATATTTTATATTGTCTAATCACCTGCTGCCTTTTGGAGTCCCCTGGTTATACATTTTAGACCTAAAATATATTTTTCTAGACTATGAGAACTGAAAATTCACTGTAAAGCAGTAAAGATTTTGGAGAAAATTGGTTGGATCAAAATCCTGCAGTGCTAGTTTGTCTCTAGAACTGGACCAGGCATCTCTTCTCTCTTTTAAGAACAGGCTTCCCAATCTTTGCTCCCATGACCCCCAGTATCTTCTGACTTTTGTCTCCACTGTCTCAATTCCTTAACTGAAATGTTAATGGGAGCAGTGATTTATTAAGTGTGGTGTTTAACTTAATTTTTGTTAAAAAACTAGAACACTATGGTAATTAATGCCTGGGCAAAGAATCCTAGTTTTATAACCTCATTTCTGTATATGCAAACTGTTACAATTTCAAACAGTTGAGGTACAGAGGTAATGAGACAGAAGGTGGAAAAAGGTGTTTGATTCGGTGAAAGGGGTGAAAGTTGAGAGGCCAGTGAGTGTGAGAGAGTGTGGCAGGAAGAAAGGAGGGGTAAAAGAGAGGGGGGATCTTATTCTAAGAGCTTACTAGCCTGTTATATTAAGGCACAGTTGTATTCTTCCAAAGGCTTTGGCAAGGTTAATATTGGCGTTGCAGTAGCCACTACTGCAGCTTCATTAGTTAGGGATTTACCACTGAGGGGATGTGCTTTTGAAGATGTTATTAGAAAGGCATTATTACACTGGCATGTTGTAACATGAGGGAAGCCAGGAGGACCAGCCCTCTTTTCCACTGCTTTTGTAGGCTCTACTTCCAAGTCATATCCCAGCAGTGGACTCAAAACACACTCCTGTTGAAGTCCCAGAGAAAAGTAGCATGCAAAGGAAAATTAGGGTAAAAAGTGGGATACAAAGGAGCATGGAGAAACCAGGGAATAAAGAAAAACTAAGGAAGGAGAGAGAGAGAGACAACACAAAGACAAGAAGAACCACCCTCAGACACACATTGAACGACAGAAACAGACAGAGGAAGCAAAGAGTATTTGAAAATAAGCCATAAAAGTGCACAGAGACAGCCAGCGCAGACAGGCAGATTAACAGAGACGCAGTGTGAATTAGTGGTAGTAAGAATAAGTAAGGATTTCAATATGTTTAACATAGGAGGTCATCCACTTCACTATTGAAGTGCAGCACCCACCTGGGTGATGCTGGGCAGCCATTATACTGTATACCAGTAGCCCCACTACACAGAAGTGTGAAGTACTGAGGCAAACAGTGAGACAAACTGACCAAAAAGAAGCAAAACACACATTCCAAGGCAACAAGATGACGGCACCAAGACAAAATGTCAGATACGATCTCAAACATACAGAGACACACCCAAAGGAGTGGCAATTTGCAGAGGCTGAAATCAATGATACTTTTGTAAAAATGATACTGATTGGACAGAAAAGAAGTACAGTACTCCACTGGTGTAAATGTTTTAACTCGGTGGAGGTCAACGGGCCTTTCTTGTTTTCTAGTTTTGTCGGGAAGAACAAGTGATGCAATTAATTAGGTTTGAGGCCTGAGGGTGGCCATCTCTGGCTGGACATAGCATGAGACGGCAGCGATTGAGACTTGACCGGCCAGTTATTAAGAGCCATAGGGGTTTCTGGCTTTCATCGCGGTTGTTCTCTTAGTTATGTAATTGAGCTAATTAGTTGATCAATTGCCTGTGTTCTTTCCAAGTGTTTAGCAACAGAGGAGGTAAAGATTACAAGACAACCTGCTGGACTATAGATTATGTGGACTGGGCTTTAATTCCATGTATGTCTCTGCACGATCATGCAAAAAAAGGCAGATGGATGTATTCTGCAGCCTTTGCTGGGATGTATACTGCATACACAATCTTACAGCTAGGTACAAAGTGAGACGGATGAAACCGTGCGAGAGAATTCCTGTTTCCTCCGAGAAAGACAGATAAACGGAGTGACCTGGCAGACTCCTTCCACTCCAGCTCCTCGCCGTCGTGCTGCAGGGTGTCCATCTCAGTGAAGAGGGTGGGGGTGGGCACGTCGTCCTCTTCGCCCAGGATATAGCGGAGCCGCTCTGCCGCTGGGGACACTGCCAATACACAGCGAGTACGGTCAGACTGCACGCACTGACACAGGCTACAGCTCTTCCTCAGCCACTGCGTGCTCTAGGCCCGGACATGTGCGACAACACAGGGGTGGACAAGAGAAAATAAGCAGAATATGATAAGAAGGTTTTTCATAAGTGCAGTCAACTTTGAAAGTTGTCCTTCTAGTTTTTCTTTTTTATTTTCTGCTTTTAAAACAAGAATCGCTGTAAAGCTGGGCTCTTCATCACTTGCATTCATACCAATGCCATATTGGGTTGGCTGGTGACATGTTTTAACACAGCAGGTTAAAACATGTCGGCGGTTCTGCTTTTTCTTTTTATGAAGAAACAAAGAGTGAAAAGAATTCTCAAAGCTTATTTCAGGATCGGCGTTACTTATCTGTAAACAATAAATGCACACTGCATGAGAAACTACTGTACCTTGGACAGTAACAATATAATAAGGGGGAAAAAAGGATCAGAGAAGAAGAAGCCCACATCACAATCAGCAAATTCAAAATAAACCACTGAAAATCAATGCAAGGCTGGTGAGAGCATGGAAAGATCCAGATTAGACTGTGTGTGTGTGCGCATATGTTCATCAGGGATTGTGAGGCATGATGATGTTAATATTGGTATCCAATGTGCAACTCTTGCTTCTGCCTGTGACCAGGAACTGGAAACTCAAATTCCACGGCCCTCAGGGCACAAACTCTGCATGCTCCCCATTGGAGCTAAAGATCTATAAAAAGCGTCATGCGGACACTGGAAAACCACAGGACAGTTTTTAATGGGTTTAATTTTATGAGCCTGACCCACTAAAAGCATTCAACGTTTAAGACATAAGTATACGGTATGAACCCTGTGTGTGAGACCAGGTTATATACTAATTTATTAAGTGGAATAAATATTTTACAATTGGACAAAATAATGCTGGTCTCTGATTGGTCAGTCTGGGACCAGCTTGACATTCCAGCAAGTTGAAAATCTTGTCACCAGATACTGTATACTCTAGGTTGCCATGCAGTTCCAAAGTTGACAGGTGTGATATTATGTTTCCCAAGTTATTTATTAAAACTAATTTAAAATACAAAAAAAACAGTCATTTTTTTCTGAAAAGGGTGCTTTAACAAGGCAGAATTCAGCTCAGAGCAGATGCTGGGGTAACTTCAGTTCTGATGCTAATGTCAGATTTCCAATATTTCTACATACCGTTCTTGATAATGTTTCTCAAAAGAGCATAATTCGATCAGAAATTCAAGTAGGTAGCCGTGTCAGCATGTATAGGCTGAAAAGGAACAAGTAAAGATTTATTCCATGCTGAACAATTTCAGCACCTTGTTCCATAATTTGATCAGTGTGTTTATAAGTGTAAATCTCAGAGATCTACTTTATTGTTTAAGTCAGGCTCTGTTAAAGCAGAATAATGAACTACATGTAACAGATTCTACTGTGTTAGTGTGTGTTCCATTTGAGCTCAGTGTTTTACCCTAGTTATAGTAACCAATATGTTAAATCTAATGTGTGTTTAATTTGAGCCTGGTATTTCAATCTTGTTATAGTTACCAATGTGTTAAATCTGCTCCTTTTAAAGCTTTTAAAGCTGTATGATTTGTGTAAGTATCAACACAAACACTGTATTAGTTAGTATTCAGTTTGAGAGTTAATATATATAACATACTGCTGTAAAAAGTAAGGCAACCATACCTATACCATATTACCAATACAGTATCTTTACAGTGATCTAACTCTGATATCCTGGATCTGTATGAAATTGAAAAGATAAGTAAAATTTTCAAACTGAAATATAAGTAATTCCTACAAATCATGTCATTCATGTCTCTCGTGTCACTACAGTCTACTCCTATGTTTTAGGCTTGGATTTGGATCTTGGATCTTTCTTGGATTTGTATCACACACAGGGCGCAGACAGCCATGCTAGTCATGATCTCGGTTCAGACTGCCCTACATTTCCTGTGGAAGTCTTTTTTTCCCCCTCAGAACTGGAGCTTATCAGCACGTGCCAGTCTTTCTGTTTTAGCGAGGAACAAAATAATCCAGTTAATCACAATCCTCGGCAAGCCTTGTTCTCCTGCTTCGGGCTACAACAAATGCACAAATGAAGTTTGCTCAAAAACGGCAATGAAAATCGCTTAAAGAAACCTTGCCATTTGCTAGGAAATCAAATATCAAATTGAAATTTAAAGCCATTGCTACTACATGCTGACATCTGTCATGAAAAACTAAGTAAAGAGAAACTGATCAACTGCAAGGTTTGCCAGTGTAGATCTACTGAGATTAAGAGCTGGTTATAAACATTATCATACTTTGATAAATCGCTAGACAGTCATTGTACGGACAGCACTCCTTCCTTTGGACTTGGACTTCCAAATTAATGTCCCAGATTGTTGACGGAAGGTTCGTTGTAGGTGGTACCTGTACTGTCCTATGGGTAAAATGTTAAACAAAGCTTCCAACTTCTGTACTGGGTCTTTAGAAATCCCATTGCTTATAAGAGTAGGGGTGTTAACTCCAGTGTCATGGTACAATTTCACCATGGCCTATATGCGAGGTGCTTTGGAATCTTTTGGGAAGAAAGGGGCTCTATTTCAGCAAACAATCAGATTTTATTATTATGTAGGTGTATATACAATTATGGACTTAAACAAGTTTTAAAGGAGATGGGTGTTCAGAAATCCCCCTAAACTGAGCTAAGTGGATGTGTAGTGCATTAATGGTAAGCCAGTCTTGAACATTTCTCTGCTGAGTTGCAGGACATTACTAAGGTACTCTATAGTATAAGTAAAGTCTTTCTCCTAACGGACATCATATAGTATCCCATCCATGCTGCAATGAAAGCCATAAGCAGAAATAAAGAAGAAACTTCTGTTTAGTGTGACTTCCCTAGTGATGCTTGAGTCTTGCATGAGTAAATACATATGCCTTTATGCTGTAAGAATACAGTCTGTTGCTTTCATTTCTGCAAACATAAACCCACAGGAGAGTTTCTCTAGAAGTCTTTTTCTCTCAAGGGTCACTGATTATCCACGTCCAGGATGTCTGTACACTAAACTTTCTGAAGTGTCCTCCCCCTTCAGAAGGCACTGGGGCACCTCTTCTAGAACTGAGGCCCAGGTGAGCCAGCTGTGTTTCCGATTACTATGCAGACCAGGCTTTTGGAGAGCCTACTGTATGTCTTGCGGTTTTATTCACAAGTTGACAAGTCTCTCTGTCTATTCCATTCAACCATTTCACTGATATTCCAGAAAAAGAAGTATGAACAGGCTCGGGGTGCTTGTTACTGTGAAGAAGGTGTTGGCTCACGAACCACTACTGTGTCGAACCACACTAAGTCTGAGTATGAATGTACAGCTAGCTTTAGGGATACTAGGGTAAGTGTGATGATTGACGCTCAATGTACAGCCACTAAATCCTCAGACTCAATGATTCCAAGTATTTAGTGACTGCACCTGTGCCAACAACTACCACATAAGCTTAAGTGGCTTAAACCTGTTACAAACAGGTTTACTAACAACAATTGTTTCATTGCGTTTTTCCCTTTAAATGCTATCCTTATTTGCGGATTGAGAAGAAATCATCATTTACAGCACTGAATCCCACTAACAAAATCCATCGATCAGCATACCTGAAAATATGAGGAAGTTTTACTTACACTTGCACATGAAAATGATCTACATACTGTATTACAAGCAGTATGTAATAAGTTATGGATTCTTAAGGCGCTCTTAGGCAAGGAAACATCTATAAAAACAGAGGTAATGTTTAGAGTCTAGAAACAGTAAATGTATGAAATGAATATGATGTTAAACTTGTCGTGTACGCACAGCACTGCTAAAAAATTCTACCACAAATACTAAACACTGAAAACTTGAGAGCTCCAGCAGCAGACCACAAGCGAATTTGCTAGCAAGAATGAATCATTCTCATAGTTAGTAAAGAATCCCGGCTCTGTTTACAAATGCAGATCTGATTTTAAAACGTGGAGGGCCCTGCAGCTCGTTTAAGCATAAAAAGTCTGGATACAAACAACGCAGAAAACAAGAGACACAAAAACAGTACATCACAAACTGCAACTGGCCCTTGTTTAACAAAATCAATCTGCACAAAGGGGCTGTGCTGCTGCCATTCGCCACAACACTTGATTTCAACTTGACGACAACTCTGTGATCTCATGCGTTCTTGATGGCTGCGTCGCACGAGAAATAGTTCTCTCTCGCTCTCTATGAATTTCCCACAAAATGCAGACAATCCACAGTTTGGCTCCTTTACCTGGCATGATGGGCAGCATCAGTCCATGTGTTCCTTGCTCTTGGATCTGCGCATCTGTGGAACCCAGAACAGTGCCAGGGCTCTGCACTCTGTCCATGACTTGGCGTGAAGCTTGTGAATCAAACCACGGGTGTGGGGAGTGGATTAGTGGACCTGTGGCATGCACCTCACAGTTCCTGATTCACGTCCTGCTGCTACTGTAGCTGTAGCAAATCCAGGGCTTGTTTAACCCAGCCTGCACAGGTCCAACTCTGAGCACGAATTCTCCCCTGATCCCCCTCCCCAGCTCCCTGGCAGGGATTAGCAGAGCAGAACTGCGTTTTCAGTGTGGAAAACTCCAAGCATGGGCATTCACTACTGATCACGGCTGAAGAGCCATTAACAGTGCATGACATGGGGCAGAGGTTTTGAATAAATAGAAATAAAGTAATTGTTTAAAAAAACAGGGCACTACAGGGTGCTACACTTCAGTGGCAGATGAAGTGAACACTTGATTTTAACCTGATGACAAGTCTGTCTGGAACCTTTCAATAGAGCTACAGTTTGTTTTGTATTATAAATCAGCAGTATAACGTGGTTTTCACCCAGAAAAACAACTTAAAGAGCATTTTTAAATGCTGTTTAAATAGCCTCAGAAATATTTCCCAAAAGCATGAAAGAGCAACAGAACCCATCAACTTTTTACTTATCTCTCTGCTCAAAGGAACTGTTGAGGCTACAACACATTAGTGTAGTTCTGTATAATACTTAGAGAAAAGCTCTGTGTGTTGTTTTTGAATCCTACACAAAACTGTCAGGTTTACCGGGCAGATCAAGGGTTAATAAAGATGAGCAGCAGTGGAATGCACACTTGCGATGTTTCCATTCTAATCTGCTTATGAAGTTCATCCATCACCACTATTTATATTTTACATTTATTAAAAAGCAATACCTCATGCACAGAGAAGAATGGTTGTTGTGCAGCATTTGATACATATTGCTCAATATCTTCAGATATTTTTGGTTATCAGTGTGTAGGGTGTGTTTTTACACTGTGCGCATTTGAAAAGCATGAATTCTTAATAATCTTAAAGACTTTCATATATTCAACACTGATGAACACAATTTCTTGCAGATGCAAGGGTTCTTCCTGATATGTCTTCTATTTTATTACCCACTCATTTCCCTGTAGTGCTGCAGAAATGAGTGTTTCATAGACACCTTAGAAAACACAATATTTCTCAAGGGCTGACAATTGTTTAAGGTTTTTGAATTCAAACCAAAATGTGTTTGAGTTGAGTTCAAACCAAAATTGCATAAAGTTAAATATTAAATAGAGCATTTTCTTGCTGCGGTGACACCTACCGCAAACATTGAAAAAATGTCCAAAGCTAATATGCATTTGCCTGACAGTAAAAAATATCAACAAAGTCAATCCACTCATTTTCAAACAGTATCTGGCCCAATACAAACCCAATTTAGTAGACCATGTCCACAAGTCAGGATAGACCCTGGACAGGATGCCAGTCCATTGCAGGGCACACACACATTTAGAGCCAATTCAGAGATGCAATGACCCTGGGCAGCATGTTTTTGGACTTCAGGCAAAACTGGAGCCCCTGGACAAAACCCACATGGGCATGGATAGAAGATGCAAACCCTGCAGAGAAGATGCCCCAGGGTTTAAAGGAACCTAAGATCTGAAAACCAGCTGCTCTCACCACCATCACACAAGAAAAGTCAATATTGATGCAATTAAATCATTAGCAGATCTGCTGGACTGAAGACCAGCACCACAGGTGCAGCCCACTGGTGGCAGAACGTGAGTACCAGTGTTGTCAGTAATGAAACTGGGGTCTTCTACTTCTCACTCAAAACGTCAGTGTTGGTCTCCCAATATTGCAATCGCAGCTAGGTTCCAGTTTCATGGATACAGGCCTGGCTGTGTGGCAGGCAGGTGGCGCCATACTCACTTGTGCGGCTGAGGTCCGCCGCGGCCCCGTTCTCGTGGTGCCCCGGTGCTCCTTCATCTGTGTCGGAGCGCTCCTGCCTCTCCCTCTCGTAGCACCTCTCCCGCTCGCCCTCTGCATTCTCACGGCTGGAAGTGGACCTCCGTCGCCGCCGCTTCCGGCGGTAACCGCGCGGCACAGGCACTCCGATGTAGATAGAGTGATGGTCTGCGTGGGCGGAGGAAAAGGTTAACATGTAGCTGGACCAGTCCTGCGCTGACAGGCTGAAGGAACTGAACCTTTTCGGTCTTGAACGGAGAAGACTACAGGGGGACCTGACCCAAGTATTCTAAACCACCTAAAAGTCAGCTCAGCAGACGTCTCCACACTAAAACAGGAACAAGACGCCACAGGCAGAGACTACACAGAAGTGCGTTAAAGCCAAGAACAGCAGGTACTTCTTTACCTAGAGGTATGTATAACAATAGATCAGGCAACCCAGCCATGTGATTGAAGTCAGCCTGGCTTTCTTCCAGAAACAGCTGCATGAAAGCCTAGTATGAAAAAACTAATGACTTCCTAACGGGCTAGATGGGCTGAGTGGCCTCCTCTGGTTCGCAACTTTTCTTCTGTTCTCAGGGCTGAGGTGTTCCTCCTAACACAAGCTTGCCATCCGTCAATAAAAGACTATCAGGACACAAAGATACTATTAGAAAGGCGTAGCTCCATCTGCTGGACATAAGAGGAAAGAGGAACAATCTGCTCGGTGAAACTAGCTTTTACACACAGTACTTCAAAGGAGCGCTGTAGCTATGAATTTCAAGCTTGGTCATAAGATAAGATTCTGACAGATACGTTCAGGGACTGAAGCCGGAAGGGATGTGGGCTGTGGAGGGTGGTGGAGGGGACTGGAAGAGTGTGTGTACAGTACATGGCGCGTGACTGTTGCCTGTCTCGGGCCAGAGAGACCCAACAAGAGGCTCACTGTGATATAGTACATCCCCCCTAGAGACAGGCTGACTGTAGGAAGCAGCACACTGCCTTGTCCTCGGCTACTCCCTACTACCACGACATGATTAAAGGATCAGGTCAAGGGGGAACGTCAGTTCCACAGGTGTGTCAGGTTCAACACAGGTATTGCAAAAACAGAGTACGTGAAGAGGGAGAAAAACAGTAGCAGTACAGTACCTGTATGGAACTTCTGCCAGTTCAAAGATGCCCAAGGACCCAGTTAAATGCACATTAACACTTGAGCAACCCCAGTTACAGTGGCTGATCACGTCATCTAGCTTCGAAATAGTGACATCTAGACTGTATAGCACTCAGTCTGCACGCTGAGCAAATCTTTCCAGGCTGAGTCACTTAGGAGTTCCTAATGGCTTTCCACAGGAGCATCACCAGCGTCCTCCCCTGCCCCCTGACCTAAGAGACACACACCAGAGTGTTCTCACACCCTGTGGGATGTACAGTAGGCTGTCTCTTACTCACCTTCATCATCCTCGTAGCGCTGACGGCTGCTGCCAGGTCCTCTTTCCACCAGGCCATCATGATCCATCCTTGTCGAGGAGGCTGTGCGGACAAGGGAAACAGAGACTGATGGAGGCAACGGCTCAGCGTGACACGATTTCAATAAAGGATACAAAATGGAGCTCAAATACCAGCCTCTCCCCTCTATTTCAGTGTCTGTTTGTATAACCAGCTTGTTAATTAAGTTTAATGTAATGTTTAATGTTTCTTTATTAGCCCTATACAATTTCTTGCGTTAGGAATTCATCTTTTCACATACCCCAGCTTTTCTCCATGGAGACACAGACACACAGACAGGGAGAGAAGCTTGGGGTCAGAGTGCAGGGTCTGCCATTGTACAGCGCCCCTGGAGCAGTTAGGGTTAAGGACCTTGCTCAGGGGCCCAACGGAGTAGGATTCCTCTGCCAGCTGTGGGATTTGAACCGGCAACCTTCCAGTCACAGGCGCAGATCCTTAACCACAGAGCCACCATTTATAATTAATAAATTTCTCTCTTCAAGAAGAGAACTGAATAGAGATGCAGGATTTAACATTCCTGTTTGTAAGATCTGTCTTTTCCATCTGTTGTTTATTTTCTTCATTTTCAAAACTTTTGTGTGTTTTTAGTAACCCCGGTTTTGTGTAGTTTTTGGTTTGTCATTTATAGCATTGTCTTCCAGGCTCAAGGAATTTGCAGACAAAAAAAGAACTTCACACAATGTCATTCCTCCCCGTCTCAATTACTCTAACAGGAGCTCTGTTTCTGCTGGAGGCCTTAGTGCTGCAAATCACAATGTGATTTAACATTATGAATTATTACAAAGATCATAGAGGATATCAGTAAGTGCTAATTAGTAAAATAGCAGGAAATTACAGGAAGATGCCTTCATCTTAAAATGTTTCCATAATCAGCAGGGTGATGAATCTTTCCATATTGAATGATAATAAAGGCACTATGCAATTCCAACAGCAGTTGGACTTCACATGCTTGCAAACTCAGTGTCTAAATAATTAGTTAGAAAATACTTTATCTCTTAATTAAGGCAATGCATGGAAAAACAATAAAAACCTTGAAATAAGTATTAAAGCCAGTGATTTAATACTTAAAGGTCTACCAAACTTCAATAAAATTCATTAAGGGAAACAATTATTGTTCACATATACTTTATAGTCATAGTCACTGGTGCTTGTTCCAGTTGACAATAGAAAACATCAATCTTATGTCTTATGAACAAAGCAAAAAATTGCAGGCGGGAAACAGTTAATCAAATGATAATAAATATGAATCAAAAACATAATTAATTGACCCACTGGGACTTGGTCATAGACTTTTCCCATAAGTTACAGGGAAATATTAATGAAAGGCCAGTGTATTGATTTGCACTACACTAACCTTAGGTAATTGTACATTAGTCAAGCTCATGGATATTTGTTTCTATTTCTGCCAAAGCATTATTCCTAATTTTCTTCTTTCAGAAAAAAAACATACAGTATAACATGAATTTGTTTGCTTTTAAAAAACGTTATTACTTTTAAAAGTTGGCATAATTTCAATGTTTTTCTTTGCTTCCATACAGTAGTTAATTTCCAGTATTAGCTCCTTTTTCACAATAATTAAAATCCCCTAAAATGTAGTTAAAATAGAAGCAATTTGCTTTTTGGGTCCAAAATATTCATAAGGGGGACAGTGTTGTACAGTTCCCATCCCTCCTTGTTAGATAGCTTTATTTGGATATTAAATTACTTTGTGTCCTTCATGCCCACTGGGTATCCAGTGCTTATCTGCTCTGACAGCCCGATCAATGGTCAGTAAAGGCACTTTCACTCTGACACACCCACTGGAGCTCCATATCTC